CCAGCGGCATCAAGACAGCAATTGAGTTTCTACGGCGAGTCGATTTACTCCGGATAGAAGACTTGATACCTTTCTTCCCCGACTTTGTCGTCATTGACGACTTTAAGGAGGAGATTTGCGCAGCCCTCGAAGACTACAGCCGCAAGATCGATAATCTCAAGCAGGAAATGGACGATAGCGAGGCAACTGCTACACACATCAAGTCAGACATCAAGGCACTTGAGCAGCGATACGCTATCGTTGAGCCAGGTGAACGCTGCTATGTCTGTGGTTTGCCACTGTTGGCTCGCCAGTTCTTTGTTTTCCCCTGCCAACACGCATTCCATAGCGACTGTTTGGCTAAGAGGGTGGTGGAGCTTGCGGGTATTGCGCGTGGGAAGCGCATTGCTGAGTTGCAGGTTGAGGTGCAGAAGGGGATTAAGACGGGGGCGAGTAGGGAGAAGGCGATTCGCGAGCTGGATGCGCTGGTGGGGAGTAGCTGGTAAGTTGTGATATTGCCCCTTTGTTTTTAGGACGCAGATGCTGACTTGTCGTGTGTGATAGTGTGTTATGCAGTGAGTTAGCTGTCAAACTAGTCAACGAACCATTTATCAGCGCGAATGACGACAAGGACGAATGGGCGCTCTGAGATGGCAGACTGTTGTCAGTTGGTTCTTCAAACATGTGCTAGCAATGGTTCTCACAAGCAAATTTAATCGGTCGACGAAACCTTTATATTGTGTAGTGTACTAAAGAAGCTTTTTTAAGTTGACCCTCTACCAAGTCAATGGTACACAAATTTTCTCATCTCACTCCCTGGAAATTTCCCCACCCACCACTCACCATTTGCCATTTGCATCGCAAAAAGAAGCAGATCAAAAAATGGTTGGCATTAAGAAGAATAAGATACCTACTGCCCCCTTGCTCCTAGACGCCACAGCCCTGATGCAAAAGAATCCGTAAAAGAGAGCTAGACCAGATGAGGAGGAAATGCCTTGAAATAATTTAGAAAAAGCGATGCAAGATGAGGTAATGGGGGTCTTCGAAAAAGAACGCCACCGAATTTAACTGATGATTAAAAGACCTGAACCCACTCCCTTTCAGATCATCATGACATGTCGTGCCCGTGTGTAAACTAGTGTTTGAAGCGACTTTTTACTCGTCTTCGTCATCGTCCATGGCAACGTCGTTTGACTTGGGAGCTGCTGTTGCACCATCATCGTCATCCTCTTCTTCATCGTCGACGACACGGGCTTTGCGTGGCCGAGGGGCAGCAGTAACGCCTTCGTCATCGCTTCCAGCGGGAGCTGCATCGTCCTTGTCGGCATCATCTACAGGGGCCGCCGCGCCGTCATCGTCGTCGCTCTCGTCGTCAATGAATTCTGCAGACTTGTATTTGCCTGAGGGCTCACTCTTGCGGGCGAGCTTCCTCTTCTTCTTCTCACGTGGTCGCTCACCATCTGATAGTTCCTCAGTACCGCTGACTGTGGTCCTTCGGCGCCTTGAGTGTGGCTCATCGTCGTCAGAAGGCAAGCCATCTGTGTCCGAGTCGGCATCCTTCTTCTTGCGCTTGGGTCCCTTTGGTCCGCGTGCTTTACGCTCAGCTTTGCGAATCTCCTTGTCCTCGTCGTCTTCCATGCGCCTGCGCTCTTCCTCATTACGCTTCTCCATGAGCTCGCGATCACGCTGAATAAGACGCTCTTGCTCTTCTGCATACTTGCGTTTCTTCTCCAGAGCCTCTTCTTCCAGGCGCTTCTTCTCCTCTTCACGGCGAAGTTTTTCTGCTTCGCGGAGACGGCGAGCCTGGTCAAGTTTCGTAGCATTCTCACCTTCGTATGCTGCTTGCTTTTCACGGGCACGCTCAAGTTGCTTGATCATGGTGTTGCGACCCATGTTGGCACGAGAAGTGATATCAGCACGGGGGAAGGGCGGCGTCTCCTCCTTTGCGAGTTTCTCAAGCGCCTCAATGGCTTCTGTAAGACCAGTTGTAGCGTCATCGACTTCCTCGAGGGTGCGTTGGTGCTCCGGCAGTGAGTAGATCATCGTGGCGATCTGGAACTGGACGAAGGCAACGTTAAACTGCGAGTTAAGATCGGCGGGAGCGGCCTTGAGAGCTTGCTTTGAATAGTCGAGCGCGGTCCGGAAACCGGCTATGCTGCGCTCGTGCTTGGCTCGGAGGTACCATGCTCGTCCTAGGCAGGCCAGAATCTTGGGGTCATTGTGACGATTCTTCGACAGGGCGGCCTCATACTTCAATGCGTCAGCAGATGCTATTGTTGTGTAAAGAGAAGAATTATAGAGCTTACGTTTTCAATTGCTCGGGAATACTGTCTGATCTCGCAGTATGTGTGGCCCAAGTTGACAAAAACACTGTGATCTTTGAGTGTTTCTTTGACTTTGGTAAAGATTTGCAGGGCTGTGGAATAGTCCTTCTTGTCTTCAACCAATGCGATTGCGATACCCTGTGCTGCATATGCATTCTTTGGGTCGAGTTGCAAAACCTTGTCAAAGAACTCGACAGCTCGCTCGTAGCCTTTCCGGCGCTTCTCCTTGTCCTGTTCAGAAGTCCTTGGCATCTCACGAGCAATGGCCAAGTGGATGTTGCCCATGCCCATGAGCGAGTAGCGGTCGTGCTTGTCAGACTTTTGCAGAGTGTGTTTGTAGAGTCGTTGTTCGTCGTCTGCAGCAAAATTCTGGGTCCTCTTCTTGGACTTGTTGACGTACCATCCGTACAGGGCGCGAACCTCGACATTGTCCTCGTTCTGTTTGAAAAGATCCTTGACAGCTCGCGGGCCCTCGTCTTGAGGGTTCTCCTTTAGAGCCATGTAAGTGAGACGAATCCGGGCATCGACATAATCGGGATGCCTTTGGAGCAAACTGTTGTATACTTTCTTGGCCTCGTCCGTCTGACCCTCGGCTTCGTAAGTCCGGGCAAGGTTGAAACTTATAGAAGTAACAAGAGCGTCCGTGTCGATTGTGTCGTCGCGGTTCTCGGCATTGACACAAGCAGTGAGAGCAACTTGGAAGAGCTCCTGAGCACGTACGTAGCGCTCGGCCTGGAAGTGGAAGCAGCCCATATTGTTGAGCAACTGTGGCGGCAACATTTCACGGAGCGCGGTCGTGAGTTCGGGGCCTTCTTCAATGCCTTCTGGGTAGTCCTCTTGTGGAATGGCTTCGATCTCCATCTGTTCTACTTCCTCAAGACATTTTAGACTCCTCTCAGGGTGCTCGGTCTCGTACAGTCGAGCAAGGTTAAGAAGCACTGATTGGTCCGGCACTACCTTCTTCTTGGGGTCCTTCCATGCACTTTGCACGCTTTCGAGATACTTGAGGGCCTTTTTTAGCTCGGCGGACTTGTCTTCAGTGGACTTGCTGTTCTGGGCATTGAAGACGTCCTCGGCATAGAGAGTACCGAGAAGGGTCTGGGCTTCGACATTGGGCGATTGCTGGAGGATCTTCTCGAGGCGGAACTTTGCACCATCATAGTTGCTCATTAGCACGTTCATCTGAGCCAATCCGAACTTTGCGGGTATGAAGCCCCGCTCCTCACCTCCACGAGCCTGGTCAGACTTGGAGTAGTACTCTGCGGCCAAAGCGATGTTATCCTGCTGGTGCGCGACCTTGGCGCGCAGGTACCAACCATCACTAGCAATGGCATTGGTGTCTGTGAGCTCGATGGCGCGCCTTGCGACATCTTCGGTCTTGTTGACATCCCTGCGGAGGATGAGATAGCTACCGACGGTTGCGCAACTCAGAGGGTACTGGTTATCTAGCTTGAGCGCGGGCTGGATGAACTCGCCAGTAGCCTTCTTGATCAGCTCAGCAAACTTTGGGTCGGAGGTGGAGAGATTGGCGGTCTGCTGGAAGTTGTAAATGCCGAGCAGGATCAGGGCGACTTTCGAGCGGGGGTTCAGTTCGAGGGATCTTTGCCAGGCGTTGGCCGCTTCGTCTTTGTAGCCCAGTTGCCAGAAGCAGCAGCCGATACCGATGCGCGGGTCTGGGTCGATGAGGTCTGGAGAGCTCTCGAGGATGTTTTGATATGCCTTTAGAGCGTCTGCCCATTTGCCCATGGAGTAGTTGACGCGCGCCTTGCCCATCTTGGCCATGAGATTCCTTCCACCTGACGCTCGCAGCGCGTCCTCGAAGCACTTGGCGGCCTGCTTGAGCGTCTCCATGCGCTCGGGGCTGACAGTAGAGCCAGCAGCTGTGGCAGGACCCTGGAGAGAGGCCTTGAGAAGGTACAAGACACCGCGCGCGAGGAAGAGTGGGGGGTGCGAGGGGCTGATTCGCGAGGCATCGTTGAGGACTCCGGTCGCGGACTGGATCCAGAACTCCTTGAGCTTTGTATCTGGGTCTGCGTTTTCTAGGAACAAAGGTTAGCTGGTATGCTTTATAGGACGCGACACTTGGAGCAGCGTACGAGGGCGGACGCGAGGAGCTTCGCGGCACTTGAGCAGGTACAGCCAGCAGAGGCCATTGAGGATGCTGAGGCGGTCGTCCGGGCGGGCGCGGCTGAAGACCTGGGTGGCCTGCTTGAGGACATCGATGGCCGTCTCTATGCGTCTGTGCTTTGCGTAGGCGACGGCGACCTGGACCCAAGTGGACGTGGCGCTCTTCTCGGCCTCGAGGATGTCGCATAGCTCCGTCGGGTCGTCCTGGATCTGGTCGTCGAGGGGGATTTCAACGTCGAGTTGGCCTCCCTCGTCATCGGCGACCGAGATAGTAATGGAACTGGGCACGTCCGAATAACGTGGTGGAGGGAACATGGCGCCGGCCCCGTTGACGCCATTCGCGCCGTTGGCATAGACGGCGGCCATGCTGGGGGGACGAATGCGCGGGTGGGAGCGTGATGTGGTGATGTTGCAGAGGCGATGCTAGAACGGCATTGGGGGTTCGAGTGAAAGGCCGGGGCGGGTCGAGGGCAAATGGCCAGCCTGCGCGTCGTCGTCGATATCGTGGTGGTGATAATGGAGAGAGACAGAGAAAGAGAGAAGCTCCGACTAGTAGGGAGTCTTGGCGCGTATCGCCGTCTCCATGTCTGCCACCAACCAGCCCGCCCAGTGAACGACAAAGACGCGGCCAGGTGTATGACACGCTTACCAGACTGCTGCATTTCTATTGCCTTTTACTGTCTAGCTCTATGCTACACTAAATTCACGTCTGCATCCGCATCCAGGCACTGTCTCGTGCGTTGCAGTCGTGAGTAGGTCTGTCCGCTCGACTCGGGCATGCACAAGGACACCCCCGAGCTCTCCGCAACATGCGCAGTGACATCCATCCATACATACGTACATACATAGACACCAACCACAGCACATGCACCCCAACCATGCCCCAGGCTCTCGTCTGCAGGATATGACTATAATCGCGACGCCCACAGTAATCGGCATCCCTTGACTTCTCTAGAAGCGCCATGTCGCGCAACCCAGGCTACTCGCAGGCGGGGGCCAATGGCGGCTATGCCAATGGCGCTGCCAACTATAACAACGGCGGGGGATACAATGGCTACGCCGGCAGCGATGCTAGCTACAACAGTAGGCCCAGCGGTGAACGTCCACGGCGACCTGGTGGGTACGGCGCCATGAATGCCCCTTCAGACGGCTATGCGCCGCGACCGAGCGGCGAACGCGAACGACCACGGCGACCCGGTGGATATGGAGGCCTCGCCCAGGAAGATGACATGGAACCAAGGCGAAGCAGCGACCGTGATCGCAGGCCTGGGGGTTACGGCGGTAGTGGCTTTTCTGCCCGCGACGGCAGCCCACGCATGGCTCCACGCACAAACAGCAACGAACGCTCCCCAGCCAAGGGCCGTCCTGCCGACCGCCAGAATGGCTCCAGGCCCAGGAACACGAACTATGGGCCGGGCAGCCAGGCCATCGAAGAGGTGCTGCAGTTTATCCGTCAGAACTGGGACTTTATGACAAAGGACCAGTGCGTACCCATCGAAGTCGCCCTGAAACTCATGGACTCGAGCTCCCTCGGCCTCGCAAACCAAGCAGACCAGTTTCAGCAGACCCATCAGCAGTTGCAAAACGCCCTCAAGGGCATCGTCAACGGTACCTTGTCTTGCCCCAATACCTAGGCTCTTGGCTAACCCATTGCAGAGCACCACCAGGGCTTCAATAGCTCCATCGGTACCTTTCACCAGATCCAGTCCAGTCTCCAGAGCTCACAGCACCGTGTCAGAACGCTCAAAAGCTCCCTCGTATCAGCCAAGTCACAGCTCTCCACTGCAAAGCCAGAGCTCAGAGAGTTTGCTACTACTTCCCAAAACTACGATGGCATGCTACAGATGCTCGACACAATAGAAAAGCTGCAGCTAGTCCCCGAAAGACTAGAAGCACGCATATCAGAGAAGCGGTTTTTGACTGCCGTAGACATCCTTCAAGATGCCCTGCGCATGATCCGCAAAACTGAAATGGAGAAGATTGGTGCCCTGTCTGATTTGCGCACATATCTTAGTAACCAGGAAGTCTCTCTGACTGACATTCTAATTGAGGAACTTCACAGCCATCTCTACCTCAAATCACCGTATTGCGAAGACAGGTGGAAAGAGTACGCCCACAACCAGGTCAAGGGCGACGTGTCTCAACGTGCACAATCCGATGCAAGAGGTCGGCTGCTATACTACTTTCTCGATGGCCTTGACACTTCTGAACTAGTATGTACGCGCCCGGATCTGCGACATCCTGCTGACAATTCCAGATGACTGATGATTCGGCCCACAACCCAGAATCAGACACTTTCCAGTACATCAGGCTCGTCATAGAAGCACTCGACAAGATGAACCGCCTTGAGGTCGCCATCGACACTATCGAGCAGAGATTACCCGTCGAGCTATTTAAGGTCGTTGAGAAGTCCAACAACGAAGTGGCCCACCGGCACCCCAGCATACTACGCGCCTACTCGGCCAAGAAGAATTCCAAGTCCAAGACCGAGATTGAAAGCGAGGACGTCCGAACAACCCTACTCAACGACTTGATGTGGACCCTCTATGCACGTTTCGAAGCCATTGCCGAAAGCCATCGGGTCGTGCATGATGTGGTAGCGGGCATCGTTCGCCGCGAGGGTCGGTCTTCGAGTGCAACACTAACCCGCGGCTTCAAGGAGTTGTGGAAGCTCTACCAGAGCGAGGTAATAACCGTCAACTTTCACTCATAGCGTTTTGCTAACCCTCTTCAGATACGCTCTCTTCTTCACGATTACCTTGCCACAGACGGCGAGGCCTCTTATAGAGATGGACAGGCCAAGTCGTCCGCTGCCAGCGCATTCTCTCGTGCTCCTCGCGATAGGAACAAGCGTATGTTCAAGCTGACTGATGTTGATACAAAGGCCTCGGATCTGGCCAAGGAGAAGAACGACCTTGAACTTATCCTCAAGACTTCTGTTCCAGGACTCGTGTCTGATTCAAAGAGACTTGACGATGTCGATACCAACAACACCACAAATCTTGACGGTAGCGCCACCGGACACAAGCTTCTCGTCGAGCCAAGCGTCTTTAACATGGGCATCTTGCTCCCCCCTTCGCTCGACTTCCTCAATAGATTAAAGGAGGTCGTGCCATCCAATGCTGAAATCAGCCTAAGCACCTTGACCTCGTTCTTGGACGACTTCCTCGTCAATGTCTTCCTTCCACAGCTCGACGAGACCCTGATTGAGCTATGTGCACAAACATTCATTGAGCTTGACGCCTTTGCTGAAGACCCACAATGGGCACGACACTCCAAAAAGCCCATATTCAAGGTATGCGTCTGTTTAACAGTGGTTCCACCAAAGCTAACTTTGTAGGGCACTGCGCAATTCTTCTCTCTCATCACAGCATTCTGCAAAATGCTCGACAACCTTCCGCATGATCAAGCATTCTCCCAACTCATTGTCAATCAGATGGATACGTATGCCCAAAAGTGCATAGGTTGGTACAAAGCCCTTGTCGGCCGCTCAAAACCCACGCCCAGTGGCCGTCTTATGAAAGCGCCCGCTGTATGGGCAGAGTCAGATGTCATGGAAGAACTCATTGCCCGTTTGGAGCGAATAGATCCTTCTGACCACGCTAACCTCGACGATGCTATCGAGAGTGAAGTCGCCCTTCTCATCGAAGCAGTAGAAGCAGATGAACCCTTGGACCAGGCTGATATGATCCAAGACAAGAAGAGCATCATCAACTTGTGCCTGTTGTACACGAGCATGAAGTGGCTGGCTACTAAGACGGCCCAGCTAAGGCACATTAGTGATCGTGCCTCGGCTCCAGTCAACATAGAGACCAGTGGCCAGAAACACAACAGGCGATGGACCAAGCTTGCGTCTTCTGACCCAAGACCCCAAGGTGCTCCTGTATATCTGCCGTTGAGCACAGAAACTGCTGCGTAAGTATCGTACATGTTCACTGACAAGATATAAACTTATCCCATGTAGTATCTTCGATGCAGTAGTAGTGACGTATCGGTCACTCTCGACTCGTGCCTTGCGCACATTGCATCTTGCGATCCGCAGTACGATACTATACTCACTCGACGCAAGTATACAACCAAACATTTACATCGACACCCTTCTCAACGATCCCGACCCAACAGTCCTCACTCTTAACTCAACTCTCGTGTCTTTCGATACAGAAGTCTCAACATATATCCCTGCAGCCTCGTATAGTCACATCACGCGTGGTTTAGCGTCATTGATGGATAGATACCTCTTCACTCTCTGCACCTCCAAGATTGAGCGCATGAACACCAACGGCTGCGCGCTCATGCAACTCAACATTCTTGTTCTGCAGCAGAACCTGAAGAACATCGAGGACGGCGCGATACTTCCTTACGCCGCACTCTTCTTCGATTTGTTCACAGCAGGCCCTGAGGCCATTGTCGCAAGAGCAAGACAGTACGGCAAAGGCTTCGGCGTCCCCGGCGAGAGGTTCGGAGAGGAAGACGTCAAGAAACTGCTCCAAATGACATATGAAGAGAGGCTGAACGCCGAGAACAGAGAGGCTAGCGTGCAAGCTAAACGATCGCTGGATGCGCAGCTACTGGAGCTCAGCGAGTTCATGTACTAAACGGCGAGCAGTTGGTCAGAAGGATTGTGTGGCTTCAATTCATTAATGAGAGATTGTAGTGTAATAGGATTGCATGCATTGTAAATAGTACTTCCTCAGCCTTATTCGTTGCGCCCCCACTCGGCATCTTCAAGGTCTGTCGCCGTTTAATGCTTACACGTCTTACACCGTTTAATGTTCTTTTTTTCGGTAAGTTAGCCAGCGCCGCAACCACGCTGCCGCTCCTTCGCTGCGCCACAAAATAAAAATGTCGGCGAGGTTGTTCGGCGCACGGCCCGGTTTTTCGTTGCTTAACAGCGAAATACCTCGCCGACGTTTTGTTTAGCCTGGGGTCCGGGGACCTGAGCTGCCAGCGCAAAAAAAAAACGCCGCAAAGGGCTGAGGCTGAGATTTCCCTACGTACTATTCTTACAGCCTGGTTAGTGTGGATGGACGCATCTCGGTCAGACTGACCCTTGCTTCTTCATCTTGAGATGCAGGGACTTTTGTACAATCTTCGGTTTTGCGCTGAGCCTTATTCTAGTATTCTCGATGTGACTAACAAGTCATTGTGAAAATGTGCCTTTGTATCCAAACGGCGACTTCAGCCTTATCCACCTATCACGAATTAAACTCCCCGTCTTACACCCCCATCTCACATCGCACCCACACACACCGCACATGTGCGCCTGGCCATTGCTTACAGGCAACATCGCGCTTGTTTTTCAGCTGCCATCCTTCTCGCATTTACACGGCGCTTAGCCCTGCGGAGCATAGTGTGGCCTAATGTAGTGTAACAGTAGATACGTGCGCGCCTCCGCTTTTTTCCTAGTCAGGAAAGCATCTGGATTCATCTACCCTGTGGAAACGGGGTTCGACGTTGGGAAGGGCCCATCGGAGGGATGCTAGCGGGTATCATCTCAGGCGGGTGTTTCTTTTAGGCAAGGTGTTTGGGTGAAAGAGTTTACTCGCCGATGTCAGATACGTGTGCGGGAGTGGAGATGGATGGGGGTTTGGGGGCCTTAAATGTGAGGGTGTGAGGCTGAGTGATGATATATAGGGCGGATGGAGGGGGTTATTTGTTGTATTAATATCTTTTTTAGTCAGATTTCGTTGCGTTGGTTTCACCATATATATCATTTCTCTGTTGATTATTGTTATCGAAAAGTTTCCCGTGGAAGTACCAAACGCCTTTTTCGTCATGTCTACAGGCGAAGCCCCGGATGTGGAAAAGGGAACTGATACTGCGGACTTTGCTCATCTTACCAACGATGTCGTACAGAGTTTTAGCTGGCAGGATGTCACTGTCACTGTGAAGGATCGCGCTTCAAAACAACCGCTGGATATCCTGTCCAATGTTAGCGGTGTCTTGGAGGCGGGAGAGATACTCGCTCTCATGGGACCCAGTGGCTCGGGAAAAACGACACTGCTCAATGTACTTGCTCATCGGGCGGCCATGCCAAAGGCGACTATCCGTCAGGATCTGAGGATTAATGGGGAGCCGACGACATTGGCTACGTTTAGGAAATTGAGTAGCTATGTGGAACAGGAAGATGCACTTGTCGGGTCCTTGACCGTCAGGGAGACACTATATTTTGCAGCTGAACTTGCACTGCCCAGGTACGTTTTCAATCGTACCATATATTCTTAGTGCTTTTCACTGACGATTGACCCGATAGTTCAATAAGCAAAGCAGCACGCAAGGCTCGCATATCCAGCCTCTTGTCTTCCTTTGGTCTCCAGAACCAAGCTGACACATTGATCGGAACGCCGATCCGAAAAGGCGTATCTGGCGGCCAAAAGCGTCGTGTGAGTGTGGCCAGTCAGCTCATCACAAGTCCAAGAATTTTGTTTCTCGACGAACCCACCAGTGGACTCGACTCTGCGGCTAGTTACGAAGTCATGAATTTCGTAAGAAACATTGCGAAGAAGCACGGGGTACTTGTCATTGCTTCTATCCATCAACCCTCGACGACAACGTTCGAGCTCTTCGATAAACTCATGTTGCTGAGCAGGGGGAAAGTGGTATACAACGGTGCGGTAAAAGAGGTTGGAGAGTACTTCGCCGGGGTGGGATACCAAGTATGTACAACAACTTCACCTCCAGGAGTATCTATTGAAAAGTGAAAAGAAAGCTAACATGACCACTCACCAGATGCCCCTATACACCAATCCCGCCGAATTCGTCATCGATCTCGTAAACACCGACTTCTCCACCGACACCACCGCCGCATCCCAACGTCTAACCCACCTCCACGCCTCCTGGACCACCTCCCCCGCCGCAACCACCTTAACCTCCAAAATCAACTCGCAACCCTCCTCCCCACCCCTCTCTACAATGCTCGCCACGCACCAAACCGCCAACCCAACCCTCATCCCCCTCACCCTCATCCACCGCTCCTTCATAAAATCCCACCGCGACATCGTCGCCTACGGTCTCCGCATCGCCATGTACATGGGTCTCGCCATAATGATGGGCACTGTCTGGCTGCGTCTGTCCCCCACGCAATCCAACATCCAGTCCTTCACCAACGCCATCTTCTTCGGCGGCGCATTCATGTCCTTCATGGCCGTCGCCTACATTCCCGCGTACCTCGAGGATCTCGCCATTTACACCAAAGAACGCGCAAACGGGTTGTACGGTCCCACGTCGTTTATGATTGCGAATTTCGTCGTCGGGGTGCCGTATCTGTTTCTTATTACGATATTGTTTAGTGTGATAAGTTATTGGCTGGGTAACTTTCGGCCGACGGCTGAGGGGTTCTGGGTGTGGGTGCTGTGGCTGTTTCTCGATTTGCTGGCGGCGGAGTCGCTGGTTGTGTTGCTTTCGTCGCTTATACCGATTTTCGTGGTTGCGCTGGCGGCGACAGCGTTTGCGAATGGGTTGTGGATGTGTGTTAATGGGTTTATGGTCCAGCCGGAGACGCTGAATGTATTTTGGCGGTATGTTTTTCATTATATCGACTACCAGGCGTATGTATTTCGGGGTATGATGGTTAATGAGTTTGGAAAGAGGAACTATGAGTGTGAGCGGTTGGTGGATGGGGGGTGCCAGTGCATGTTTCCTAGTGCACTACAGGATCAGTGTTTGGTTGAGGGTAAGGCGGTGTTGAGTGTGTATGGGTTTGAGACGGGGGACATGGGGAAGTATGTGGGTTACATGCTTGTTATCGTTGTTGTTTATAGGTTGTTTGGCTGGGCAGTATTGTGGATGAGGAAGCATTGAGATGAGACTGTTGACAGCGAATGGATTAGCGTATAGAACTTTTCTAACACATATTGAGTCGTTCTCATAATAAACTTCTTTTAAATAGACATCTTAAAAATAACATCCAGACATTTGAATAATTTTCTATTCTGTTTTATTAAGGGTTCGATTGCAGATTAGATGCTGGTGGCAAGAGCTTCATAAGGAAATATTTATCCATATCCTACTTACTCAGGGCTATGTATTGAAATTACAATTGCCACGAAAAACTAGATAGGACACAGTTTGGGGACAAAAGACTCAAGAATTTATTTACCAGAGCACACTATTTCTGTAATCGGCTAATGATCCTGTTACCACTGCTGGTAACCCTGTAGATATTTCGCATCTCTACATTATGTCCCAAATTTTCTTGTAAATGCTTGAATATATCCAATGCCTGCCAATATCGACCGACTTCAACCGGTTTGTTGGCCCACGACGGAGCAGAATTGATGGTAAGCTTGGTTTTATCTTTGCTTATTAGGTTGCATCCTTTTTCCAGAAAAGATGTAAGAAGAAGTGCTGATGATGCTACTCACCTGATAGTTTACGATTCCTAAACCCTAACAGTATGCAAGCTATGTCGCTTGCGTCAAAGCCTTCGAAGCATTCCTGTGCAATATTGAGCGCATATGAGATCTCCTCTTCGGTTGTTGTCTGCTCCTCAGACCATTCTCGACGTAGATCGCATACTCGTATTGCATTTCGAATATAACCACTAGAATCTTTGGGGTTCTTCAATTCTGGATACAATCTGAAGATACCAGCATCTTCCAGTTGCTTCAGAGAAACTATACAGGACCGACCTGCGTGGTTCACCACTCCTTGCGAGAAGTACTCGCCATTGTAGAATTCTTGCTTACACAGACGGCGATTGAAAACTCTCTTTACTTCTCCGCCCAAGTTATTAGCAATGGGAAGGTATTTTTTGAGCAGCTCGATGTCGCGGACAAATTGTCCTTGAGGAAACTGACTGGTTTGTACCATACATATCTTGATGTCGGTATTAAGGAGTGACAGGCGATGCTGTCTATATGTTGCATATTGCACAGCATAAAGTAGTGAATTAGTCCAAGACACCAAGTTGTCTTGGTCGTCATTCTTGCGAGTCCACTTATCACCAATATGGTAAGATAGTAATCTTGTCGCCTTCAGGTTCTCCATGTCCAGCAAGTCATTTACGACGCTTGTTTGGGTTTGAGAGGCATATTCCGAAGATGCCATGACTTCTTCATCGTTTTTTCCAGAGCTTTTCCAGTCAAAAACTCGAAACAGGTACGGCGGTGTAGTGTTTGGGCTGCTGAGGTCGATATCGCTGCTGTTTTGGGGATAAAACAGTGTAGGTCCTACAGACGGTAATTCTAAGATTGTGACCCAAAAGTATACCCATGATCGTTCTCCTTTGTAATGCCCAGCATGATCTTGGCTCGCAAAATCGGGATCAAGAAACCATATCCACGATGAATCCTTCAAATGGTCGACAAAGTCGTGAGCGTTGAGAGTACCGGAAGCACTGACAGCTTCTTTGTAACATTCTTCGAAGACCTTCCATATGAATTTTTCAGTAGAAGTTTCATGATTACATCTTTGGATTATATCTCTGATCTCTTTTTCGAAATGTTGAAACAAACGGTAGATTACGAGTTCATTGGCGGGAATTTTCATCGCTTTGATTGTTTCAATGATGAGATCCTCTATTTGTTGTGTGGTTGTCAGCAAATCACTTGAAACTATGCATACGCCTCTCCTTAATTTTCTCTACCGCCTCGTAGGAAAACGGTCTCTCAGGCACAAGTCAGCCCATAGAATCCCTGAACTCACCAGATTCAATTTCAGTCTGGGCATCAGAGCTGGCAACGTTAATTGGTTCAATAGGATCCCCGCAATCTTTCTCTGGTGGATTATTACAGCCACTCATCAAGGGGACAATTCCATCAACGCGTTCCTGGCCTCCATCCCCCACAGTAGTGACATTACTAAGCTCTTCACTTCTTTCGTCGTTGTGCGTAGTCATTGTAGCACTGAAACTGCAAAATAGGTCGCCTTAATGAGTGAAGTAAGGTTGATGAGACAAGAAGGCTGTGAGAGGTTACATATAAGCCGACAATCTGAGTGAGGCGTGAACCACTACATGACAAGGCTGAGGCTCGTGTAACATACAATAAACCGGTCAGCCAAGAAGGGGATACCCAACACGTCCGCGCATCTTACTCGCTGCAACGGAAAGGAACTGAAATGCATGATTGGGCTGAAATCCGATGGAATTTTCAGAAATTTGCAGTTGCTCTTTTTGTCATAGCTAGTCCATATTTATGGAAGGAATCATGCTAATACACACGATGAATACGTGCTCTAAGATCAGGTGGAGCTAATATGTTTTGGGATGAACTGCCCCACCTTGTTTCCTGCTCAATACCTACCAACGTTGGTGATCTGGCGCACCTTGGCGAATGACTCATGTGTAATCATACTGATTGCATGCTGAGGATTGTATGCGAGGCCGGTAGGTATGTTGGTGTAGCGTCGTAGCTAAGGATGATTGCAATCGTAACTAAGACTATTTATTCTCTGTTTAACTAAGAGTGAGGTGAACGACGACTCTTTCTAGGAGACCTATGAGCACTTTATTCATCTCACATCCAAGAACAACATGAAATCGCCGTGCGATCTCACAACGGAGCAAGGGCTCAGCAGCCTTCTTTCTGCGACCCAGTCAGGACACATCAGTGTAAAATTACTTTCAGGTGGCACCGCAAACTACGTATACCGTTGCACAAAACAAGATGGATCCACAAGCATCTTCAAGCACGCCGCACCATACCTCCACAGCAACAAGAGCTTTGCCTTTGACCCCACTCGAATGGACTACGAAGCCGAAATCCTCACTCAACTCGCCTCCAAAAACAAGCCTTTCTTTGCCGACCCACCAAACACAACTGTACACGCCGTCCAACTCCTAAGCTACAACAAGAACAACAAGCTCCTCGAGATTGAAGACAGCGGAACCCGCAACCTCAAAGACGCATACACCGACCCAGATCTCAACCCCTCACAAATCAGCCAGCACCTAGCAACCTGGCTCGCAGCACTGCACACCTCCTCTACCAACACCTCTCTCACACTCGAAGGCCAAGATAGCAACGCAAGAAACAATCCCATCGGCGTCACTATATACCGCCATTCCTACCGCAACCTGCACCTCGCCCTCGAGCAATTCGGCCACGACACTCAACTCGCGCACCGGATCAACGAGAACTTTGGCAGTCTACTCGCCACGGATGATGAGTGCGTGTGTCACGGCGACTTCTGGCCCGGCAACGTGCTCGTACGTAGCAACGAGGCTCAATCAGCCAGTCTCACGGTTGTGGATTGGGAAATGGTGCGCAGAGGTACCAGCGCAACGGATGTAGGGCAATTTGCCGCGGAGGCGTTTCTGCTCGATCGGTTTCGAGGAGGGAGAGGTTTGCTTGCGGCGTTTTTGCGCGCATACGTTGCTGAGAGGAAGGATGGTGAGGTGTTGGGGAAGATGTGGCTAAGGCGGATGGTGGTGCATTGGGGAGTGCATGTGGCGTTCTGGCCTACGTGTGTTGAATGGACAGATGTGGCTGGTACACAGAAGTTGGTGGATATTGGGGTTGGTGTGTTGGAGAGTATATTGCAGGATGATTGGGAGAAAACACTGGAGTCGCCGTTACTAGAGGATGTCAGAGATGTTTTTGCGCTGATCCTAGAAAGAGTATGAACAACGTTTCTCACAGAGTAAAAGCAACTTTGATATGACCTAAGTACTATGAGATCACTCTGAGTGACTTTTCAAGGTCATCCATCTCCTGATCCACCAGTGGTTTTATTGTCACTTCAACCGTGTGGAATTTCACCATACTATCTACTCACTGCCCCTTCTTCACTGCCGATGCACCCTCAATCGCGGCCAGATTACCCTCCCTCCAGAACCAAACTGCTGAGAGGGCAGCCCCTGGACCACCGCCAATGGCAATTGTCATGATCATAAGAATGCTTTCAAAGACGTTTTCTAGTGAGGCTTCGCCCTTCTTCATCCGCTGGACGTCGCAGGCTGCGACCCAAGAAGGGATAATATACATGATGCCAATAACGATCCAATCCCATTGGAAGATCCACAACAAGCCCCAGGGAATATCCTTGCTCCAGGTGTAGGTGCTAGGGATGAAGACACGGGCGTAATTTGCATCAGGATGTTCGGAGACGGAGATTCCGTAGATGCTATACCAGTGCACTGCTACCGAGAAGAAGAATAAAACCGCGTACATGATCCTCAGATGAAACACGTCGGCGTTTTTCTTTTGGTTGGTTGTGTTTAGTGAGCTGGTAAGGGAGACGAGCCAGAGCGGGATGTTGACGAATATGGGGGTGAATTGCCAGAACGCCAAGACGGATTGCAGTGTGGAGATGCTTTTGTCTGCGGGGTACCAAATGGCAATGGTGGGAATGATGTACAGAAATACGATTGCTGGTAACATGACCCGAGCATATGCCAGCGGTACCGTGCATCCGGTTTGGTAGTAAGACTTGGGACTTGTTTGGTAATGGAACAACATCCACCAAATGGTGATGACGAAAGAGCCTCCGACATTTTGGTAAAAGAATGCCCAGATGGCAGTACTATGGATTGTCAGTAACAGGACAGTAGTATCCTGCGATATCCGATTGAATACCGCCTATCCTGTGCACAACTCACTATGTCAGCCATTTACCCTGGTTCCCGTCTCGACAGGCCTCAACATTCATGATTGCGATGAGGGGCGCGAGCTGAGGCAAAAAGTGGATTTGCTGCCAGTAGTAGGCCTCGTTCGATCGCAGGGGACCGAATACAAATGCAGATACTAAGAAAGCCAAGCCTGTGTCGATGAGCTTAATGCCGGTATAGTCTGTCTTGAGAGGGGTGCCATCAGGCAGCTTGCGAGACGCGAACATGTCCATGAAGCCAACAGGGTTACTGGTCATGGAGGTCACGATACGCATAGTGTATAGGCCTATCAGAGCGAGGATGGCATAGAGAAACAAGACTTTCCCATCGCCGTTGCGGCGATGCTGGGCTGTTGGGGGTGCCATGGCGAGTGGTTTGGAGGCAGGAGGCTCACGATGCAAAAGGACACATGGGCGTGTTATAAGATGTGATGTGGTGGGCTGCGGGAAGCATGGGAAGTGATTTGGCGAGCTTCGCCTCTCCCTTTGCAGCTAAGGCGACGGCTCGGGGCAACATGAAGAGAGATTGCGGGGTGACCTTGCTTATGTAAAGCAGTTGACGAAAGTACCGGCGGGCTTATCACGTCTTGGCTAGCTGGAGGGTCATGTGATGCCGCCATGTGGTTGTAGTAGAGGCATGAAGTCCATGTGCACGTCTATAAGAAGTCGACAAGTCGTCGAGAGGTTGCGATCCACAGGGTCTGGTAGGTAAGTATGTATAATAATACTAGTAGTCCATAGAGTGACGAGAGCATGTGCTGGAAACTTGGATGGGTCGCGGGAGGGGCGGGAGGAAAGTGTCCCGAGTGGCTGGTTGTTGGCTTTCGGATAATCGGCACAGTGGATCGTGTGTTGACGATGAAAGGAGGTCTTGACAGGGTTGTTTTTAACGCGAAACGTGTGTGGATATCGAGGTGGGTTGACGTCAGTTCCCGTACTGACCAGTGGATGGTGGAGCGCGATGGGATGGTTGCGGTTGGTGCCTGCCAAGGATGATGATGTCATTCATGGCTTCTCCTCTGGCGCGTTGAATGCAAGCCCGCACAAGCTCCACCAAGAATGGCACATCCTCGCTGGGACACGGTCCTTTTCCGCCTGGCTACTGCTGACGATGATGCGCTCTCTCACGCTATCATGCATCCACCCCTCAAAAGTCACCGACCTTGTGTGCCCCCCTTGGTTTGACTGCGCGTCGTGTCTTCCTCGTGTGCTTTCTTTTCTCAACCATACTCGACCACACCCTTAACTTCCCTCCGCATTCCGCCCCTCCTGTCGTTCAGCAACCGGGACTACTTTGCAGCCTCTAAAACCCTCTACTAGTATTCAGCAATGGTTGGAGGTAGACGCAGACTTCTCAGCACCGGCAACACCAAGGGCAATATCAACAGTTACGGCGACCCCGAACAATTTACAAAGTACCAGCGTGTCGACCTGGAAAGCGGATATGGAGCTACCAACAAGATCAAGCCGAGGCAGCGGTTTCGCGATGCCATTGAGCAGACGTTGAGGAACAACCACGCGAATGGCCTGAAGCGCAAGCTGATCGATAGCATCGACCACGACGCGTTTGAAGTATACAGGAAAAGCGAAGAGAGCGTATGTTGGCAGCTCCATCTACCCACGCCGGATGCTGACATGCTCGCTGTAGCTCAAAAGCATAAAGAATAAGCAAGTACGCAAATTCTACGAGGAACAAAACGAACGCATCGACGACTGGGCTGAGGTGGACATGGTCGTGACCTCACTCGCCGACGACGTTGTCGACAGCATGAACCCCCGGGATACTGATCACGACGGTGTAGCCGAGGACAGAGGGCCCTTAGGTCTCAGCGGAGAAGATTTGGAACCATTCCTACCCGAAGACGAGCGCGAGAAACGCCGAAAGTCAGCCAAGCACGTGAAATGGGCCATCAACGTGAGTTCCAAGTTGCAAGTCGTCTAGCTCAAAACTCACAATAACCCAGATCAATGTCCTGGTCAATATTCTCCTGCTCGCTGCCAAGGGCGTTGCAGCCATCTGGTCAAAGTCGCTATCCTTGATCGCGTCACTTGTTGACTCCGCTCTCGACTTGCTTTGCACAGTCATCATCTGGACTACGAACAAGCTAGTGGGCTGGCGTCTGCAGGCCCTGAAGAAAAGATTCCCTATTGGTCGCAAGCGTTTCGAGCCCATTGGCATCCTCGTCTTCTCTATCATCATGGTGATTTCGTTTCTTCAAATCCTTCAAGAGTCAGTAAAGAAGCTGCTGCCCAGTGGTGACCACAGCGTAGCCATGCTCCCACCTGCAGCCATATTCTCAATGGTATCCACCATTGTTGTCAAGGGAACAATTTGGATTGGATGCGCCAGGGTCAAGACAACACAAGTGCAGGCACTCGCCCAGGATTGCAAGACAGGTAGTTTCACTCACACATACTGCAAGTATTACAGGGCTAACCCGAACAGATGTTTACTTTAATACCTTGTCCCTTCTGTTTCCCCTGATTGGTGCCCAGGTCAATGTCTGGTGGCTCGATCCTGTCGGTGCTGCTTGCCTTTCCCTGTACATCATCTACGACTGGGCATGCACCTGTCTTGAAAACGTTGCTCGTCTTACTGGAGAAGCTGCTGATACCCGCACAGAGCGCAAGATGATGTTCATGGCATACCGCTTTGCACCACTTGTTCAAGGTTTCAAGAGCATCAAGGTCTACCACGCTGGTGACGGCGTCTGTGTAGAGATTGACGTGCTCATGAAAGAGAACACTCCGTTGAGGACATGTCATGACATTGCAGAAACCCTGCAGTATTGTCTTGAGGGGTTGAAGGAGGTAGATCGTGCCTTTGTTACAATGGATTGTGAGTACTTATGTGGATAAGTGTCTTCCTCGGCGCATGTTGCTAACAATGCCTTACAGACACGGATCAAGGCCCCACGGGTCACGCAGAGAACTAAACACTTGATTTTGAATAACTTTGTTCAATTTGGACAATGCACTAGCATAGCATGCAAGGCGTTTCATGCTAGCGTTCGATTTCCTGATATATGCATGTGAACCCTGTTCCAAAATCACGCATACTTTATCATGTGGTTTGTAGCATATATGAACATCTCAATCGCATAGCGGTGTTGTGAATAAATCCTTGTAATAAAGAAGTTTCCAAGCAATGTATGCACATTGACATCCATTAACCGTTTACTGAGAGGTACACAACCAGCCCCATGCCTCGAGCCATCCCTAGTAAGGCAGCTGAACCCAGAGTACGTGATGCATTCTTTGAAGACGTGCATCTCCGTAGCGTACGCTTGTTTGCCGGTCGTCCTAATGGGACTTGGCAAAAGCTTATCGCATCTTGCTATCAGAGAATAGCTCGTCAAGCTTCTAAGTATAGCGTTACGATCTATTCGCGTAGTCCGACTTACGCTCGCTTCTTGCCTTGCTGCAGAAAACTAGTCACATGTCCGCCAATCAAGCCCCATGGCCCCCAAACTACCCAATTATCAACGAAACTCGTTGCTGACACACGATTACCTCGCTCATGGCTTGATACTCCATCCTACTCATGTTGAACATATAGTATGTAAATATGGTATACACTGTGGTAACACAAAGTTTTGCACATCTCACCTCGCGTGTTTCTCCATGACATAGCGAAAATGACGAACGTCACAACGCATGGCAATGGCATCACGGGAGCTGATTTCGACATTTATGGTGCTAACCGGGTGCTTCCACGGGCAATGACTTCCTTTACAGCAATCGCATGGTACAACTCGCTCGAACTTCTAGTCCTCATCTTTTGTATCTTCAAAAAATACTCTGGGCTGTACTTTTGGAGTTTAATTATCAATGCACTCAGTATCGTACCCTATGCAACAGGTAAGCCATCCATTCGGATAGCACAAAGTCTCTTCAAAAAGGGAAACATAAACTGACATACTAATTCTTCTTAACTCCAGGCGCATGGATGAAACAAAACAACGTCGGCCACAACGCCAACCTCTACAACGTCCTCCTTACCGTCGGCTGGGTTCTTATGGTCCCCGGCCAATCCATGGTCCTCTACTCCCGCCTACACCTCATCTCGCCGAACCTGCACCTGCTCCGCCTAATCCTGTGGACCATAATCCTCTCCGCCATCTGCCTCTGCGTCCCCACCGTAACCCTCAACCTGCGCCAGTACACCACAAAGAACCCCACCATCTACACGCGCGGCTACAGCATCATGGAGAAAATCCAAATGGTACTTTTCACCCTCCAGGAAATCTTTATTTCATGCGTCTACCTGTGCGAAACGCGAAAACTCATGCTCGTTATTTGCGACGGCAAGACGCGCAAGTGGATGTGGCAGCTCGTTGCTATGAATCTGCTGTTAGTCTTGCTCGACGCCACGCTGCTCACCATGGAGTTTCTCAACTTGTACATGATACAAACGACGTTCAAGTCGCTGTTGTATAGTTTTAAGCTGAAGATTGAGTTTGGGGTCCTGAGTCAGATTGTGAGGATTATTCAGAGGGGAGCGAGGGATGCGACGCCGGAGTTGGGGATTTGGACGGATGCGGAGGCGCAGAAGAAGGCGGGTGTGGTGTCCGAGGTCGAGGTTTTGCAGCATAACGTACCGCCCGAGTGGCGGTTGTTGAGGGAGGCTACGGCAAGGGTGTCGCCGATTGCGCTTAATGCTCCCAGTAGGTGTTTTTTGGAGAGTGATGCGAGTAGTGTTGCATCCATGGATTTGATGTATCCTGGGAGGTTGGGTTGACTTGGAGAGAAGTAGAATGAATCGAATTGAATTCTCTTGATTTTTTACATGCAAACTCATCACCAAATACCTGGGCTAGCAAAGTAACGGAGCTCAATACTACAAAGCTTATTCAAGTCAGGAAATTCTAATCCCTTTACCCAACGATTAGTTGGCGCTCTTCCTTTATCATAGAAAGCCTTTCTTCTTTCCATGGGCTTCATTAAACATTACCGAATCCTTCCTTATACCTGAACTGCTCAAAACCTCAAAACCTCCAATCAATCAGTGGCTCCAGACCTTGCCAATTCTCTTCACTTAAGCGGGTCAAAAACTAGCACCGTTCCAACCATACACCCTCTCAAGTCTCCTTTCAAATCGCTTTGCCATGATGTACGTAATATCACTGACTAGATGCGGCTCATGAAATTGAATGGCACGGCGAATATGAAGCGATTCACCGGGAGTGAATTGCCATGCTGAGCCTTGCAGCTTCTCAACCGCAAATCCAATGTGAGCCATGGCCCGCTTGAATTCATGCCACTTTACTTCCTTGGGAAGATCCTCATGGTTAGACTGAGGAACGTGAAAAAGCGTTTTCATCTCCTTCAAGGTATGCTTGTCCAACCTGAAAACTTGCGGGACGTTCCCCTCATCAGCGGTGCCGATCATGTGTGTCTGGGGTACATCAACCATCACGGACTCTGGGCTTCCCTTTGTCTTTGGTTTGATCTTTTCTCCTACCGCCAGTCTATCAAACGCTCCAGTAATCTGCATATCTCTGTTGTGGGAACCCCCAGAGAATGGCTGGTAGATGCACTTCAATTGCTCTGGCTGGATTGACTTTGCCTTCACATGATCCTCCCAGGCTGGTGTGCGCTGCATTGGGCCATCCTCGGCAACACATTTGCGAATGACTTCGTGCTGCGAAATGCCCGTCTTTCTCTCGTAAGACTTATCGACATACTTCCAAAATGTGTCGAGATTGTCTTCTGCATCGCGCATGGCTCGGACAGTTCTTGGGTTGCGAGTTTTGTAGGCAGGATAATCCAGTTTTCCTCGGAATGGATTGATGAGATGTAGGCATGTGACCATGACCCAGATGATCAAGCCAGTCATAGAAACCATCAAGGTGGGCATGGGAATGTGGCTTATCCAGGTCAAAGCTGGATCCTTGGGGTGTACTGCGCCACACCGACAATTGCATCGCGCACTCTCCCATAACGGACATCTGCGCGAACAATTTGGAGACACGAGGCGATACTAAGTCTCTTGCCGTTTTTTTCTCTCGCATCATCTTGGTTACATAATCCAAGAGAAGGTATAGTGCTTCACCCTCGACGTCTTCGCAGTCTTCGCCCATATTGAAACACTCAAATGATGACATCAGCTGAAAATCCTCAAGTGACCGGATATTCTGTAGCTGCATTGTTATGTGACGATTTGACCGAATGTAGAATTTGCGAACATTAGGCGACATTGGTGCACACTCGAGCATCTGATATACGAGTTTAGACACACGTCGAACGCTGCAGTTAAAATCCGTCATCAAAGAAGCAAAATCACCGTTCTGATCCTGCATAGATGTCTTGGATAAGAGGTTGGTAATCTGATAGAGTTCTTTCCAGGAGAAGAACATGCTGTACGCATTGGTGACCATCTTGGCAGCATTGCACATCAGGAAACACTTGCTGTCCACATGCGGGTCGATATGCCCGTAACAGTCTGGTATTAATCCTGAGCTATGCTCACAAATGTCTTTGAAAGCATCGGCGAAATAAGATGGATCCTCGCGCAGTGCTAGGATGTGATCCTTTGCATTATTGCATAGAGCGTCGAAATACGCACGCAATCTGAGGAACTCGACTGGCCTTCGGTTTCGATAGGGAGCAACCATGAGTGTATCAGCAAAGGTTGTAAATCCCAAGTCGCTTGGTAGCTCAAGTTCAGACGACGGTGGCTCATCCTGTATGGCGCTACAGTACAGCATATCCTGGTTCATGTCATGCAAGATCAGCTTGCTGCACGCGGCCAGGAATGCTATGATTTTATGTTGAATTAACAGATAATGTATGCCACGCCGAGAGCATTCAGTGAACTCATTTCCGCTTGGTATGTTGGGGGATTGAGCCTTGTTGACAGGATGCATCTTGACGTAAAGTGTAGGTGTCGTTTCGTTTGAGATTTGTAGGTTATATTGTTCTAGCTCGGGCTCGTAGGAGCATATCGACATTACTGCCAATGGGCTAAACGCCTCTTCCGTAAGCGTAAACATGAATGGAACATTCCGACCACGTGCGTTGAGAAATATCAGCAAAGACTTCAGTTTTGTGAGATCTTCGAGGTTGATGAAGGGCCATATCTTAGATGCTGAAGGAGGCGTCTTTTTGTCATGGGTACCCAAACATTTTCTTAGGTTATTTGACAGCTTGGTGTAGTTGAGAAAACCATTGACTTCTGTGTAGTCTGGGCGATGCGTTTCCGGCATGCTCGGCCACGCCTTGAGCAGAACATCTCGCCGTTGAGCCTGAGTCTTCTTCAACCACCTTTTCCGTATCGTCGCTTCGTGTCGAACAACAATCTTATTCAAGTCATCGTAGTCTTTGCAAATGCTCTCACTGAGGGAGGAAGCATGCTTTGCGATGGTGGTGACCAAGGATAGTTACACGAATTCGTTCCGGTGTAGTTTCGCAAGCAGCTCTTCAAGGCATACATCATCCTCCCTAGAAATATTCAGTACGTAAGTATGTAAAGGTGCTATCAAACATCAACTTACTCCTCCTGTTGCGGTAGTAATGCGAAATCTGTCATCGTTTGGGTGTTTTGTGCTTTCGTGTGAGTCGGGAGTGATTTCGGTATTTTGGTAGATTGTATGTATCACTCCGTTTGTATGTCTCGGAAAATCATATTGTTCCGGAGCAAACCGGAGGTGAAAGGCGACATGCAAACCACTCAAGGAAACGGCGAAAACAACCCTTGTATGGCGAAAGTGAATGTCTTATATGTATCAACCCACATGATGTTCAGTTCGGGATAGGAAATATCTGCAAGTTCTTGCTGAAAGCATAGAATATTGGAATGTAAAATGTGATCAAAGAGTGATGGGTTGAACATTAAATCAGGACAGCTGATTTGCCTGTATTAAGACTGTCCAATAGTCAGTGTCACAACAACAATACAATGCACCTGCCTCCACACTAACTGATCTCTGAAGTCAGGGCATCATGGTACCCCATATATAATCAGAATTAATTACAAAGTATTATTGTGCGTTGCTGATATTACACATCCTTGCACAACTGCACATGTTGTGTCACGGGCGGTAGTCTGACGCCTCCGCGGATAAGTACTCAGTGCGTAACTTGCACACTTACCATAGCCATCGCAACACATTTGGCAATAAGCTACAATGAAGAAGAATTTCTATGTCCGCAATCTGTGCTAAATTGTCATTGCGTTGCGAAGCTAAAGTCACTGGATGCGGTCGCCACAAAAACGACATGTGCCGAGATTCAGTCTTAGTTCAATGAAAGAGTCATTTGTAAGCATGTGAGAACTCAGATATACCAGTGAAGACCCAGAACCCAATGTTTACATTATCGCTCTATACACATAAAGCCTTCCAGTCATAGTAAGATGGATGTCAAGCCAGCTGCAGTCACACGCATGGGGATACATCGTTACATCTCGAGCTTTAATAGCTCTTCTGAGATTCACATGGATACAACTGCGCACTATTACTACGCATTTACCAGAAATTTCCCAACAGGGAGGTACGATTTAGGGTAGAAAACAAGACTAGGATGGCTGGTTGAGAAGCCTTGGCTAAATATGACGTCACGCACTCGGGAATGCCCTCGCTACACGTTTGATGAACCATGTCGCGTAGCTGTGGAAGCAACACTGTAGTTATTGTTTGTTTACATAACAAATCAAATATAGTTACGAAAACACTTACAATGTTAGAAAACAATGTGCACATCCTAACATTGACTATTCAGAGACTCAACCAGAAGAAAAGGTGCATATCAGAATGCAATTCATATATTCGTCTATCATAGACGCGTGACTTCGTAATTTATCCTCCCATTTCTGCACCAGTATGCATTTTCTCTGGGCGCTTTCCTCCAGGACGTAAAAAAGGTATGAAAACTCCACACAGCGCCCCTTGCTCAGTTTGAGCTGTATAATCCCAAGCAAAATTAAGAAAAGGAAAAAGATGTACGAGAATCAGAATGCCGACATTCCGGCTGTCCTATAGAATTTCCTTCAATTTCTCCTTCTGTGCACTTGTCAAACTCGTAGGGAACTTGATCTTGACACCAACAATGAAGTCTCCGCGCTCTGCTGGCTTCTTGGATTTGGGCATACCCAAGTTGGGGTATCTTTCTGTCCAGTTGGGGCCGGTGGGACCGCCACTGCCGACGCTGAGTTGTTTACCGTCGATGGTTTGTACAGTCCGGCGCCAGCCCGTGAGAGCTTCTTTGAGGTCGAGTTCAATGATATGCTTGATATCATCGCCTTCGCGTGTAAACATTGCGTGGGGTTTCTAATCCAATTGTTAGCACGTGTTCTCAAAATGAATAACGGGGGATTCAAATGTGGCTTACCTCGGAAACAATGAAATGCAAGTCCTGTGTTCCACCCTCGACTTGGTCGCCAACATCTGAGAACTTGATCTTGCTTCCCGGCTTCAAACCCTTCTTGATCGGTACTTCGAGGATCCGATCTTGAGTGCTCTGCTTGCCTGTGCTTTGGTCGTATGTCTTGCGCTTGATCTTGAGCTTCTTAGTGGTACCGTTGTAAAGCTCTTCCAAGCTGACTGCCAGTGGTTTCTCAACGACTGTGACTTCAGGCTCTGGTGCTCGTCGGCCGCCTCGGAATCTACCGCCTTTTCCACCGGCACCTCCGCCCATACCACCCATACCAGGCATTCCGCCCATTCCGCCAGGCATCCCGCCCATGCCAAAGCCGCCAAAATCGAAATCATCACCGCCGCCACCGCCGCCGGCGCTATTGCGCATGAATTCGCCAAAGATGTCGTCGGCATTTGAGAAGTTGAAGCCGTTTCCGCCGCCGCCGCCTGTTGAGAAATGGAATGTTCGTGTGCCGCCAGGCATGCCACCAGATGATGTGAAAGGGAATCCTCCGGGGCCTCCTGCGCCTGCAAATGGATTGCCTCCAGGGCCGCCGGCATCCTCTTGTGGTACGCCGCCGCGTAGTAGGAACTCTAGGCCATATTGATCGTAGGTCTTACGCTTCTCGGGGTCGGAAAGGATCTCGTAAGCCTGTGAGCATTCTGGAAGTATTGTTAGTATAGTTTAACAGAGTGGGTTGAGTAAGTGACGTACCTTTAAACTTCTCCGAGGCTTGCGGGTTGTCCTTGTTCTTGTCGGGATGCCACTTCAGCGCCGCTTTCCGATATGCTTTCTTGATCTCGTCTTGCGTCGCTGATTCCGATATACCTGTAATAAGATGTTAGCAAAAGCTCACGTGTCTACCCGCGGACCTCGATCAGCCTGCCCAGTTGACTGCCGAGCAAGGTATGACTGTGGAGGGGCAGCTCGAGCAAACGTACCTAGTGCTTCGTAAAGTTTAGTTTCCTTGACCATATTGACCGGCAATAAGTAATGAAGAAGGAATCTTTTGTGTGCGCGACTAGTTTCTTGGTAGGGAGTACTTCGTGGTGACGAGGTTGTCGTCGCTTTTATCGCTCAAGAGCTTCGAACGTCTCTCCACCTGGCAATCGACGCTAGCGGTGACGTCGGGCCCTGTCGCGCAACTCGGAACCTCAAAGAGAAGCTTCGAGAAGCTTCAATCACGCTGCCATATCTCACCCAAACCCCGATCACAATCACCATTGTCAGAAAGCATGCGCTTTGAATATCTTATTCAAATCTTAATAACTCAGATCGTGCATAATTGCCGATATCTTGGGCAGTAAATTATCGCACCTCCTATAACGCGCGACAGCGGTTGCTTCCAGGTCGACCTACACACATATCGCTCCACGCTTTTACCTCAACCAGTAATATACCAGCACTTCTCAAACTGAAGAATCACGACGCACCATGATGCATGTGATGTACATGACGTTTATTCAAGGGCTACGACAAGCGCGCTGTTATAGTGCAGTTTGCCCAATGCCCCACCATCAGGAGCCCTACGCCGATGGAATCCAAAGGAAAACAGTCATTCCAGTACTGCTTATCGTTTCCCAGCAAGAAACGCTCAGCAGATTGAAAAAGTAAAAAGAAATAGAGGCGTCATGAATACTGCTTTTTATTAGACAGAGACACGTCTGGTCTTTCTCCAAGCTCTTGCCCGACTCCATCGATAGGACTACAACATGATCCCCGTGATCTCCCCTGCATGTAGACTTAGCTGGCAGATTCGCTCGAGGTTCGGTACATAGCCATATAAAGTGGGCCGAAATAGAGCATCCGATAAATATACGTACATGAAAATCGCTTGAGAATGCAATAGCTGTATTCATATAGAATTCCATTAAGCTAACCAATCTTCACCGATGATTGCATCCTGCACTTCAATCGAGATCCGGGAGTGGCTAGCGAATGCTACATGTAATTCTAAACCGAGTACTCTGCATCCTTACAGCAATGATTAGGTTAGACATGCGATGCGCATGGTGTGGAGCAGTCACGTAAGCATCACAGATCAAGGCCTAGCAAAATTGCGAATGATAAATTGAAACAATGGATTGAACATAATGAGCAGTGAACGTTCGCACTTCAACACATAGTCGACCACCCCTGTCGCAGAAGCTTCGACGCGCCAAACGCCTAAATGCCCAAATTCCCAAACGCCTTTTTCCGTATGCTACAATGAGGAAACTGGTATCCAAGGATAGAGTAGTAGTATCAGTAGCTATGACATGTATACGATTTTCGTGTATAGCGCTCGCACAAACAACTGCAGTAGAGCGCTAGTTGCTATTCGGACGTCCATGGGTTACGTATTAATCGTTTAGTCGGAGTCGCTGTCATCGCCGCCCTTGCTCTTCCTCTTTTCCTTCTTCGCAGCCTTCTTTGCAGCCTTCTCTTCCTTCTTCTTGCGCTTGCGTTCAGCTTTGTCCTCATCAGCCTCCTCTTCGGCATCGCCTCGGCTCTTTCGCTTCTTGCTCTTCTTCTCCTCTCCATCGGAAGCACCGTTGACCTCGGCCTCAGCCTCAGTCTCTCCAGTCGGCGCGACCGGGGGAGCAGCAAGAACGTCGGAAGTCGATGTGGTCTGAGCCAAAGGTGCGGATGCGCCATCGACATCAGTCCTGTTGAAGTCCTTGTACTCAGTGTTCCACTTGGCGGGGGTCTTGTCATTGGGACGACCGAATTTCTGCATTTGTTAGCATAGAGTTTTCCAAATCAAGAAGTCGGTTTCTTACGTCAAGGGTGCCTGCCTCCTTCATCTTCTTCTTTTCAGTGGCGACTGGGCCCATGCCCCATCTCCTGGGGTAGAGGTCGCGCTCCATGATGACACGTTTGATCTTAGCAACAACACCATGATCGCAAGTAGACATCTCGACAGCCGACATTTGCGCGTAGGCGAGCGCAATGGCCTCACCCTTAGTGGTCATGAGGACAATCTCCTCGTGGATCTCAATACCCTTCTCGAATCGCAGCAGACCGGGCAACATGAGCTTAGCACCATAGCAGATGGCGTTAACCGAGCTGTCCTTAACAACGACACGCTTGTAGCTCATCAAGAGACTCTCAAGAGGAGAGATGACCTTGCGCAGGTAAGCCTCGTCGCGGTTGTTGTCGTACAGCCATTGAGCATCAAGAACGTCGTGCAGAGTGACAAGGTCCTTGGTTTCGTCCATGGCTCCACTCCTCACACGGCGCAGCTCCTGCATGTGGGCGCCGACACCGAGCAAAAGACCCAGGTGCACGCAGAGAGTACGGATGTAGGTTCCGGCCTCGCAGCTCACCCAGAATACACCAAGCTGCCTCTCATTGTCAAACTCGTACAGCTTGCTCTCGTGGATAGTTCGAATACGGAGTTGACGCTTGACAGCAGAAATGAGCGGAGGTCGCTGGAAAAGAGCTCCAGTGAGGGTCTCAAGAGCGCGCGCAAACTGCGCCTCGCCACCAGGCAGCTTGTCGTGCAGGCGAATAACGCACACATACTCCTTTCCGGCTCCCTGCTGGGACTTGACGAGACGGGTGGCGCGGTCGATGCAGACGATGAGACAGCCAGTGACCTTGGGGTCAAGGGTACCACTGTGGCCAGTCTTCTCAACCCTTTAGGTAGTGTCAGCTAAAAGTGCATGCGACAGCTATTGCAATATTTTCCTACCTGAGCATGCGCTTGATCCATGACACGACTTCGTGCGAGGATGGGTTGGAAGGCTTGTCTAGGTTGATGACACCAGAGCTAATGTACGACTTGAGGTCTCGCGACAACGGCGCACATCCATTGGGGATAGGAGTGTAATGAGAAGTGCGAACGAGCACTATATGTGCATTAGCAGAGTAAACCGTAGCTATATGGGGAGCTGCAGCATACAGTCGCTGTAGTTCTTGAGTAGCAACGGCCAGTCGCTAGTGTCGATGGCAGGCGCAGCCGCCTCGGGCTTGATCACATACGCGTCGGGATCGGTCTGCACGAGAGCCATGGCGATTGTTGTGGTGGGTGGTGGTGTTGCAATTGGCGAAGCACTGATCTCGAACTTTTTCGCGTGGATTTTCGCGGAGGCCAAGCTACTTGACGCACAGACCACTGCCTCGGATTTTCATCGGCCCGCTGCGGAGAAGCCTTCTTTTCCTTGGTTCGTTCTTAAAATTTACTCTATAGGAGAAATATATTGTAGTAGTTATTATTGAATGCTCATGCAAAATTGAGAGCTAGCGATATTTGAAATTTTTAGAAAAAATAACTATCTTTTGTTGTGACATGACTTCCAACGCAGTTACTGGATCGCGGCGTGTTATTGGTGCGCATCAAGAAAGATGTGAGGACCTCGCCCACGTGATTCATGCAAATTGGGCAAAAATAAAAAAAACATAAGATCAAAAACATACGACAGCGGGGATTCGCCAGTGGTCACCCACCTGACTACTAATCCGCCGATAAACTGCTTGTATAGGGCAGATCGGACGGGATGCCTAAATTTCAGTTTTCTATGGTCGTATGTACTAGAATAGTGAAAATAAATGTATTGTATTCGTAAAAAATCAATTTTTGCAGACTGATAAAGATCAGAGAGAGCTCACGTGATGTTATCGATATCCAAGCTTGGCACTGCCCCACGTAGGGAACACGACTACACAGACTGGAGAGATAGATACACTCAGTTTCTGGGGTTCACGAATTGGTGATGCATGGTAAATGAAACAAAGATGCATTTGAATAATATTAAACTCCTATTCGCTAAAACGAGAATACTATGAAAAGAAAACCCCCCCTTCAAATCGCTACTGGACCGTGTTGGTTGCTGCGCATAGTCGCAATGTCACCTGCTCGGACGCCCTGATACTGGTTCAAGATTTCGTCATCGCCGGTACTGCGCAAGGTGTTTTCATCCATCTTGCCGTCTGCGCCTCGCTGGACACCAGGCTCAATCAGACTACCCTCACTGCGAGGTACGTTTGGCCAGAAAGCTTCTTCGGCATCTAGCAAAGCCCTCCATATCGGATCCGCCCTGTTCTTCACCTCTACCCACCTCCTGTCATCGCGGTTTACTGCTGTGCTCACACCTTCGTTGATGATGCGTTCAAGTTGTTCGACGAACATCATGAAGTCTCGGTTTGACCAATTGGGAATGAACTCTCTTCGCATGGCGCCGCCGTCCATGTCATCTTCGTAACCTCGAGGAGATGACTGGGTATCTTGACGGCGAGCCCAAGACCAGGCTTCATAGTAGACCTTCTCAGTTGACCATAGCAGAATCGCGCCCTCTAGCCAGGGGATGAAAGGATTGGGTTGTTGAGATGCAACGGCGTTGAACAGGGCCTCGTAGCGACGTAGGCCTTCAGACTTGAGGTTTTCTTGTAGTGGCAAGGGATGAAAATCAATCTTGTAAATTTCAGCAACTTCCTGGAAGAACTGAATCTCCCGCTCTCCGTTTTGAATGCCAGCCTCTAGCCATCTAATTAGGCGTGTTTCGATATCAGGTTCCGTGTCTGGAGCAATTGTCGATTTGTAGGTACTTTGAACTAGACTGAGAGTGTTCCTGAGTGTGGAGAGGTAGCCTTCAATGTACTGCCTGTCGTTTGATAGCCATTGTGCTATCACAGACTTAGGCAGAGAGCCCTTGGCGGCGCGTTCTAGGAAGGGGTGCCTTGTGACGCGGAGAAGTTGTTGGTGGTTGATTGCGAGTAAGTGTGTTGTGACTGCCCAGGGGACATCGGTTGGGTCGATTTCGCCTTTGCTGTGAGCGACTGCGGTTCCGGGGTGGTGCGTAGGCATGGTGATAGGTATCGTTCACGAAGTATTTCAGAAATCTGTATCGAACGGTGTATGTATTCGATAAGGTACATTTCGGACAAGGGCAGCAAAGCAGGGTCTTTATATGATCTGTCAAGGTATCTGCCAAGCTATACAATCGCTCCGAGGAACTTTAGCTATGTGCTGCTGTATCCGGTATGATGTACGCTGTGGCGCAGCCAAGAAAGGGTGATGGTGTTGCAACGACCGTATGACGTGAGTCCAGGACTTCCGGATGCTGGGCTTCTTTAGCTGATACAAGAGGACGAATGATAGGATCCTAGATTGATAGATAAGAACTTGGCGCGCAATGCCGCAGCGGAGCACTTGACGGTAGGAGGGTGCTAGAGTGCTCGTTCAACTGAAGCGCGTGGCGGAACTGTGGCTGGGCGCTCGGCAATGTTGTCATTTCGCCACCTCACCAAGCCGGACGAGCATTGGGCACTATTCGCTTCCTGCCCCTGGCCCATCACGGGTGACATACCATAGTCCTAGTACTTTACGATGCCATGGCAGAGATGCTTGTATCCACTTGGGGCGGCCAGAACCAAGTCTATATTCTTGTTCTTTGCAGAGCTCAGCGTGCCTTGAAATCCAGACCTCACGCCATCGCATCATCGCCTGTAGGACATTACCTCACTTGATCGTCCCACCCTGGGAGTCTTGATGCACGCAGTTTCCAAGAGTGACTTTCGAAGATGCTCCCAGATAACGATCAAGCGCACGCATCGGCAGAAAAGGCCACAGGCAGTATAGAGCAGCCTCACCTTGGTTTTACTGAGATCAGGTGAAGTGGGGGGTTCTAGTTCCTTGACATCGGGGCTGCAACGAGTGGTTTGCACTTCAAGTGTAGTCGATTTCAAGAAGTCGCATATTTACCCCGCGCACATACTATACGAACACCTATATTGTGCTCAGGGCAAAATGCAACCATCAACTATTATTATATATCGAAGCCAGCAAAGCCAACATTTGTTATCTGACCACGTCGACTGACTTACTCTCGAATGTACCAAAGCAACTATACAAGTTGAGATATTTGCTTCAAGTCTCAAAAGAGAATGTTTACTGAAACAGCAGACATATCACAAGCGAATCACTTTAGGCAACTCAGAGATATCAAGACTAGACTAGATTGAGATATCCTCATCTGATAGGCTGGGGTCTGTAGAAATGTTCCAGAACATGATTCCAAGATCTTGCAGTTGTTCAGGATGTCAAAAAAATGCTATACACCTCAACATCATTTCCCCCAAAACCACTGTATCCAATATATCAACAGAGCAAAAAAACTCATTCTCTATTCCAGCCAACTCAAAATGATTCATATCGTGACGATGGCTATCAGATCAAAATCTTTATTATCTTTCGAAGCTCTACATATTCAAACAAGAAACTTGGTAAAAAGTAGCCCGGATATAAAATAGAACATATAATTTGCCATGACAGTAGCCTTAAAGCTATTTTCTATGTAAACAAGCAAAAAAAGAATGAGTAAAGAATAGGGAGGTAAATGTCCAACTATACAATGATACTACAACGGTAGTACGACGGCAGTATTGTATATACCCATGTCAACAGTTTCTGTGGACAGCCGCCTTAGTAATAATGCATTCATAACATGTTCAAGATAAAAACACCATTGGAAACCCCTCAAGATATAAAAAATCATACAAACCCATACATTCGTCACCCAAAACCCACATCCCTCACAATGTCCCAACGAACCCCCGACATGACCCTCGCCAGCACCTTCACCCGCACCTCCCACGCCCACCCCACTCCAACAACAAACTCCCCCCCAGGACTCATAATCCTCATAATCGGCGCCTCCCACAGCATCAGCGCCGTCATAGTCAAAGCGTACGTCCTCGCCGGCGCCAGCACCCTAATCCTCGCGGCACGCCCCTCATCCGCTACAGAATTATCTTCCGTATCCCAGCGAATCCTCTCTTCATGCACCAAATCCTCAACCCCGGCACCAACCATCCACCTCGAACAAGTCGACATCAGCAGTTCATCCAGCGTCTCCTCACTCGCCCAACGCATCTCGAGCAAACTACCCAACCTAGACATTGTAATCTTGAACTCGGGCCTCACCGGCCCCCTAGTCTTGCACGTCGACAAGGGCGATCCCCAGGACTTTAGCAATGTACTCGATGCCATTGTAAAGGGGACGTATCATGTTGCTCAGTATTTTATTCCCCTCCTCAAGGCTAATGAGGGGGGTAAGAAGATGTTTATAGCGGTGGGATTGATAGCCGCATGTATAACAGAGGGCCCTTTTGCGAGTACGGCGTATTGTCTTGCCAAGCTTGCGCAGGCGAGGTTGGTGGAGTTTTTGGCGGAGCAGTATAAAGGCGAGGGTGTGTTGGCGGTTGCGGTGCATCCTGGGGCGGTGAATACGAAGATGGCGAGTGTGGCTACGCCGGAGAGTCTTCGGGCTTGTGAGTTTTCTTGTGTTCCTTTATCTGCGGGAAGAGACGAAGTTGGTTGTTTTTGCTGACTTTTACCCTGTTAGTTCTTTCGGATGATGTCGAATTATGCGGTGCATTTTGTGTCTGGCTAAGTCGTGAGAAGCGCATGTAGCTTAATGGACGGCTGCTAAGTGCAAAGTGGGACGTGGATGAATTGGTAGAAAAGAAAAATGAGATTGAAAACCAGGACATGTTGAAGTTTGGGTACAGGGTGGGCAATATCTAAAGTCATATGGATTGCACCTCCACCAGAGTAGAACTTGGTCAATGAGAAATCGAGTCAATAGCATTCGACGAAATAAAGAAAACGATGTTCGTACGAAGCCTTGTCAGGTCATCGCCCTTGCTCTCTAACCCAAATAATCCCGCAAACCGGATCATTCCCAACGCCTTCAAGAAGAATTACTGCACGTGATGCACTAGAAAGTCAAGTCCTTTGTTCTCTCATAAACCCTTAGACAGTCCCCGCAATACTGAGGTCCCTAATTTCCTGCAGAACCTCCTCGACACGCGCATCCAGCTCACCCTGAGCATACTGATCTCTTGTATTGGCATCGAGATACTGTTGTACCTGTGCCATTCTCGAGTAGGCCTCGGCACAGAACCTCAACTGGATCTTGACTAGCGCTTCGAAACTTGGGTCTAGATAGGGTACTCGCAGGTCGATGAGCTGTGGTAGTTCGGCCGTTAGGGTGTCGTTGAGCTGGTCGTAGGCAGCCTTGGCAAGTTGCTCATCCTTCTCAGCACGCGGGAGCTTCGTGACGTCCTTGTCGGGCTTGTCCGTCAACTTCCTGACCTGGGCGCGCATGCGATCATAGTCCATCTGCTTGTGTTCGCGCTTGGTGATGCAGGCGTTGATGTCGGGGAAGTAGGAGCAGAAGCGCTGGATGGGGTCGAGAACTGTGGTTCGGTAGGGACCGTCGAGGGCTTTGATTGTCTCGGCATCCAGGTCGGTAACGGCTTGCTTGTAGGAGCGCGATACTCCATCCTTAGTCCCGGCGTCTCCGTAGAAGGCGTCAATAGTTTCGGCAATGCGCATCTGCGAGGCCGTCATGGCACGGAGCGAGTCGAGGTAGCCTTTTGCTTCCTTTTGCAGCTTGTTCGCCGCCGTTTCCATGGTTCGGTAGCGTCTGCCATGCTGCTGTTAGAGGGGGTAGTCATGGGCGGATGCCTGGGAAGGGGGGTAAGGAGGCGGCGGCGGGCGGGGGTTGAGGGCGCATACCGCTGCTCAGTCTCAAAGTCGCGATCATTTGTGCGCTCGACCTGGCCCGTCTTCATTAACACTTGCGTGGTTGCGCGATTGACGCCCTTCTTGAACCCTGCATGGTGTGAGCGGCCATGATATCAAACAAACATTGTTGGGCTGCTATACCTGTCCAAGACATGATGGTGGTGTTGCCGCTGTGTTCCGGAAATGCGATGTAGAAATGTGTGTTGCGTGCAAGTGGAGTGGGTGTAGTCGGGGGTATTGTATGTTTGTACACACTGCAGTCGAGGAGAACAGAGTCGAGCAGAGTGGCAGTGGTGTTGTGGTTGGCCGGCGAGTTGGATGGGAGCGGGCGGCAGTGCCACAATGACGAAAGCTGCAGCCGGCGTACACCTCGTCCATCGTGGCTGAGCAAGCCCGCCCAGCCCGGCCTCGGGTTCCGCATCAATGCGAAAGCACCCGACGTCAATGTTTTCTCTGCGTGCGCTGCATCGCGCAGCCCCTTCACATCTACGCTCATGTAGCAATTGTCTGCGCCGGTATTCCCTCGTATCGCCCTCGAGCCAGCAACAGACCCAGAAGAAAGTCATTTTTTCCGGCATCCAACCCACAGGTATCCCACATCTTGGAAATTATCTGGGCGCATTACGACAATGGGTCCGACTGCAAGACGAGGCCTCACCAGACACGACGCTGCTCTTCTCCGTTGTCGACCTGCATGCCATCACCATCAAGCAAGATGCATGTGAATTGGCAACCTGGCGCAAAGAGATGCTAGCCAGTCTCTTAGCAGTAGGACTCGACCCAAAGCGATGCATAATCTTCACACAGAGCAGCGTAAAGCAGCACGCAGAGCTCATGTGGATTCTCAGCTGCGGTGCCAGTATGGGCTATTTAGGCCGCATGACGCAGTGGAAGGTACGCTTGCATTCTTACAAAAAACCTCTAAAATATATTTATATATGAAGACAAGCAATTGAAAGAAAAAACACCAACTAACCAACCCCCCCCCCACAGGCCAAACTCTCACTCCCAGCAGACTCCTCCCCCCTCGACCCCTCCAATAACAAAGACGCCCTAAAACTAGGCCTCTTCTCCTACCCCGTCCTCCAAGCCGCCGACATCCTCCTCTACAACACCACACACGTCCCCGTCGGTGAAGACCAAGCCCAGCACCTCGAATTCACGCGTGAGCTGGCCATCGGCTTTAACCATGTCTACTCCTCCCCATCTTCATCATCATCATCATCATCATCACCAGCAGCAGGAGGAGCAGCAGCTCCACTCCTAACAATCCCCCAAACCCTCCTCAGCCCCGCCAAACGCATAATGAGCCTCACGGACCCCACCAAGAAAATGAGCAAAAGCGACCCTAGACCCAAATCCCGTATCTTGCTTTCCGACTCCAGAGAGGAGATTTTCGCAAAGGTTAAATCGGCGCTGACGGATTCGGTAGAGGGCGTGAGTTATGATCGGGAGATGAGACCAGGAGTGTCGAATTTGGTGGATTTGTTGTGGCATTTTGAAGGTGGTGATATCAAGGGAGGAGGAGAGGGAAAGGCGGGGTCACCCGAGGAATTGGCGCGGGATCTCAGGGATTTGAGTATGAGAGCGCTCAAGGAGAGGGTGGCGGATACGGTGGATGTGGGGATTAGTGGGGTACGAGAGAGGTATCTGGAGATGATGAGGGGGGATAGGCAGGCGGAATTGGTGCGGCATGCTGAGCAGGGTGCGCAGAGAGCAGAGGAGATTGCCGAGAGTACAATGGTGAGAGTGAGGAATGCCTTGGGCATTGGGTGGTAACGATTAAATCGGACAAAAAAAAATAGGGTAAACCATACTCTTGTAAAGATAAGATGAGAACATGATGCAAGGCCCCGCGGCAATTCTTTGGAAAGCTATCTATGGGAAAACAACTAACGCTCCATAAAGTGCCGAGCCCAGAATCGCAGTACTAAACGTATTATCGAAAGATTGATGCCCTGAAAAAGAAGAACTGAACTCCCAGGCCTATGCAGAGTAAAATGCCCACCCGAAACCGTGACCGAATCATGGGCATCTAGTAGACCCGTCGAAAACGCAAGCGCCAGGAACCACACGCCAAAACCGAACGCCTCGCTGAGAATAAACGTGTTGAAGAAGTAGTGAGAATGAAATGCAGGGGAGCCCTGAGAAATGCATATGCGTGTGCACTAATATGCACACGTCGGCCGTATTCCATGGCGGCAAGGTCGGCGTGTCTCTGACGACGAGAGAGCCATGTTGGGATTGAAGAACAAGTGTGGCTGTAGTGACGAAGAGCCCTCCCTTGAGCAACCCGATTGTGTCGTTACGGCATGATCGTGAGACAGAGGTATTGGAATTCAGCCATAGTGCTGACATTTAGCGCTTCGAAGGAGCCTCTTCCTCATCCTCGTCTTCGCCATCGTCATCTTCGCCCTCAAACTCAGAGTCCATTTCTTGGTCCTCGTCAAAGTCGCTTTCGCTGCCGCCAAAGTCAAGGCTCTCGGCATCGCTATCTTCCCAGCTCATTTCAAAATCTCCCTCGTCCTTCTCCTTCTTCCACGCAGTCTCGTTGGTTGGCATAACGAAACCCTCTGGGATATCCTGCTTTGACAACTCAAGATCCTTCTTGACCATCTCCTTGTATTCGGCTGGCTTGTTACGCAACATGACGCCTGCGTCGACGTTGGCGGGAGAAGAGACCTCGGCGTCGTCCAAAAGAGAGAGGATGGAGATAAGGACTGTTTCGACTCGCTGCACGGGCGACCAACGCTCCGCGGCAGTTTCGCCGGACATTTCGTCATCGCCGGGCGGGTGGAGGATGGAAATGCACAGGCGGCCGTCGGGGTAAATGTTGGGGTGGTAGAGTGGCCGGATAAACTTAAAGTCTGACATGCCATTAGCACTTGGCTCGTATCATATGACAGTCTCCGTCATAGACGAGCGGTCACGTACCTGGCGGGCTATGTGGGTAGTTGCGAGGAAACGTCATCCTGGCCTTGAAGTAGCCGCCGTAATACATGGATTCCTCGTTCATAACAATGAGAGCCACGCTCCATTCAAAGACATTTTCGTTGATAAGCTGCGCTGTGGTTAGTTGGGTGTTCAGCAGTCGCCACTCCGGCAGGTGACTCTTCGCTAGCCGCCGCTCACAAACTCACTTCAATGTTGGTCCATTTCTCCTTACTTAACTGCTTGAACTCATTCATGAGTATTCGCTGCGCCATTTCCGCCATGTTGAGCAGTAGTTCCGAGCGAAGCCCTTGCCGGAGGATGTGGTGTTGGCGAGGGTGGTGTACAATGACAATGCAGGCAGACGACGTGTCAGTCTAGTGGGGTTTCGGGCAAGTAGTGCGGAGGGAGCGTGCGGTGCAGGGAGAGTATATGTACGGGGAGCAAGTGAGTGAGTGAGTGGGTGAGTGGGCAAGTGAAAGAAATGGAGGGTGGGCGGAGAGGCGGAAGGGTGAGACTATGGGCTTTAAGGGAGAGCGTCTGCAGAGAGGCGCTGCATGATGGAATGCTCTCGCCGAAACAAGGATGCGCCAGGCCAACCCTTCGGAACGAGCCTAATTCACCGCTTGCGACCCTGCAGAGCGCCCCTCGTGTGGAACCATGACCTGGGGACTCATGACCTGCTCCCAGGGTAGACGACGGCCGCCCAACGTCACAGAACATGGCTTTTTGCCCTCCTCGGCCCACCTGCTTTGGCGGCTGGCTGGTTCCTGTGCCATGCTGGGTGCGGCCAAGTCGCCATGTTACTTCCGACCTCGGAACGAATGGGAAGGGAACGGAATCATCGCCTACACAGTAGTCTCGCCTCTTTGCCAGCGCCGCGTGATGGGCGGCGAGTGCTGAGTGACGGCGTGTCTGGCAAATACTGAGCTGCTCAATAGTGTACCGCTCGCCGCCAGGCCTCGTCCCAAGCCTAACAATCGCAGAAACGTGGAACCAGCGTGTGCCTGGGCCGCCTGTCACGCCATCGCGTGCTCTGTGCTGCCCTCTGTCACATTGCCCGTCTATTTTGGAGTCGATGAAACAAACAACAAATGCCAGCTGCGTAGACTGCGACGTTTGCGTTACTGCCAGCATATGGATGCGCTTGCTTTTCCTATCCCATTCTAGTCAAGCCTTGTGGCTGATTACCGATTTAGCCCCAGCATCAGATCCTTTGTGAATATCCAACCCCCTACATCAACACCACATGAGCAACCATCACGTCTGACACGCAGAGCATCTTTGCAAGCAAATCTCTTCTTTTTTCTTTTTTTCTTTAGCCATTTGTATACTCATATTGCTAAACCTAGTTACTGTCCGACATAATCCCAGAATGACCGCCTCATGCCATGTATGTACATGTATGCAGAAGCCCAGCTTATTGACAACACTCCATCATTACACCAGCGCTCTCGTCACGTCGTATACTGAATGAAAGCACAAAGCAAGAAACAAACAAAAACGCAAAAAACAGATAAAGAGTGTACGTGCCCAGTTGAACGACGGCTAGGAACAAGTAGGAAGCCGCGCAACTAGATGTATCGCATCCTCCTCGCCACAAGCAGGCACACCGAAACAAAGAGGCAAATGACTCCAATGATGCTGAAGAACCAGGCTAGGCTCCCGTCTTGGCCCGGGACCTTGACGTTCATGCCGAAGAGACCGCAGATCAGGTTGAGCGGAACCAGAATCGTTGCAATCACAGTCACCTTCTGCAGAGTAGCGTTACTATCGTTGCCCTGGATGACCTGGTCCACAGAGATCTGGGCGAGGTAGTTGGAGTGCGCGCGGCTGAGCATTTCCTCGAAGTGAGCCAAGTTGGACATCATCGTGACGACGTGATCCTGGATATCGCTGAGATAGATGCCCACGTCACCGCGGGGCGCCACACTGTAAGATTCGTTGCAACGCTTGGCGAAGCCCTTGATGACATCTGCTTTGCCTCCCAGAAGACGCAGCAGCTGCATCACACGCTTGCGGCAGTCGCCAATTGACCGAAGGATCTCGCGCGAGTCCTCAATCCGGGCAATGAACACTTGGTCCTCAATCGCATCAGCTTCGTCTTCGATGCTTCGGATCACAGGAGCGAAACTGTCCACAATGTCGTCGATGAGGGCGTAGCAAATCCAGTCGGCGTTGAGGTTGATGTAGTCACGGAGCCGACTGATACGCTTGCGAACGTTGAGCGTGTGGGGGCTTTCGCAAAAGGTAAACGTCAGGATGCCCTCTTTGAACACTACCGCGTAGAAGTTGACGGGCTCCAGGTATTCCTCAGACTCCTTGTCGGCTTGGAAAAAGGAACGGAACGAGACAAAGTAGTACTGGTGGAACAATTCCACCTTCTCGCGTGGCTCCTGGATGCAAATGTCCTCGCGAGTAAGGGGATGCACTCCAAACGCCTTTGAAATGGCAAACACTTCCTCTTCTGTTGGGTTGACCATGTCGAGCCACCAGACGCCGCCATCTGATGGTGTGTCAAACAGATCGCGGAAGCGTTCACCAGGCATGAGGAGCCCTCCAAGCTCGGCTGCATGAATTGTGTCATCCATCTCAGAAGAGAAGAAGGTCCATCGATTGACCTTGGCTTCTGGCACATGCTTCTCGGTGAACACGTGAGAAAGACCTTCCTCGGCAAGCTTTTCCTGGATTGTAGGGTCGACATCTTTCAAGCTCGTAATGTCGTCTGCTGTCTTGGGCGTGGCGGATTGGCTCGACTTGGGACGAAGGTCGGAGAAGACCTTGGGCTTTGCAGAGAGGCGAGAGGCTACACTCGCCTTGTGGTGCAGAGGCTGGCCAATAGGTGTCTTGCTTTGGGCCTCTGCGACGAACTCTTCCAACTCTTCATAGTCAAACCTGGTTGTCTTGCCAGTGTCCTCGGAAACAGGGAAGCAAACATCCTCCTCGGCAGAGCTGTGCGCGGATGCTGCGTCTGTGTTGTGCAATTCCTCAGGACGTTCGTCGCTGATGGTTGGGCGGCGCGCTGTGCCGCGAGACATGGTTCTATGCAAGGCAAGATCGGTCTCGGAGTCGGCATGGCTCTGAAGAGTGTTGGCTCGGTCACGGCGACGAGGCCCGGCAAATGCATCAACCGAGTTGGGGGGGGAGACAGATCGCGAGCTGGTAGACGAGTCCCTGCTCCTAGACAGACGCTCGACAGCAAGGTCGCGAGGGCGTCGGAATGTGTCTCGTCGGGCCCGAGGGTCGTGGGCTAGCGAACCGCGGCGAACATAGGCATCAGGAACCAAGTGCTGGTCATCGTCGACCACAGCACTTTCAAAGTCGCGTCGAGTGATGTCTGCCTCGAGGGCTTGGTTGACTTGAAGGAGTATGTTGGGGTGGTCCTGGCCGTGGGCGCTCGCAAATGTAGGTCGGCGCGATCTGGGGGGCGAGTTTGCTTCGGCACGCGGGAGAGATAGAGGCTGGTTGCGGTGGTCGTTCAGGTCAGACACGGGCGTGCTGAACCTGGTTTGGCTCTCGGATCTCGGAGTGTCAGTCATATTGGCTACTCAGGCGGCGATGAGTGGGACTCCAGGATCTGATGCGGGGTGCTTTGGTTAAGCCAGGATTGTACGTATATTCAGCGACTTCTGGCGCTGCAAGAAGCACGGAAGCGGGTAGGTCGCTTGTGAGCGCCCACCTCTAAGGCGCGCTCAACTTGACGATGGCTTCGCGTAGGGTGGTCCCCTACACTAAGCCGACGGTAAATGTGTCCGGTATCCAAACTTCCACACCCTCTCCGGGAATAGGAAGGCTAGGTGAAGGAGGCAAAAGCAGTAGCGAGGGTAATCGGGTTGTGCTGTTTGGGCCAGTTATGGGGGCTGGTGGTCGCCTCCGTATACCCAGGCTTTTGTGCCGAGCAAGGGGCGGATGAAGGAGAGCCGGTCGAAGTAGAGTCCCGCCAACTTGGTGGTTTGGATGTCTATGGACGCCGTAGCGTCAGAGTTGGGTGTGAAAGGGGATGGTGGGGAAAAACAAAGAACACTGGGTCAATCAGTCGCAATGGTGGATGACGGTCCACGGGGAGTCAGAGCTGGAAAGCGGCGAGGTGCGCTGGGGCAGCTGCCAGATGCGTGGTTAAGAAGCGGTGTATTGTCGTGGGCAGCAGGTCTGTGGGCAATATATACGTGGTGCGAGACCAGGTGGGCGATGAAAATATTTGGTTGACGGGGGGTGCGGGTCTTTTGTAGTGTGGCTAGAGGGCTAAGGCCAGGCCTTGTTTCCTTTGGATCAGGTCCACGCTTCGGTGCCCGCTGATTGGGCTGAAGCGCTCCCGAAGCCCCAAGACTGTCCGCTAAATGCGTCTGCGGCATGTGGAGCCTCTGAGGCATGCCGAGCAGCAGCCAGCAGCACACCGGACACTACAGGCGTGTATGAGTCTAGATGGTGTTGCGTCTCTGCACCCCCCCAAAAGCCATGGATGCATATGGAACTACTGTCGCTTGTTGACCTGCATCTCCGTCAGGCGCAAATGGAAGGCTTGCAGGGGTGGCGCGGCCGCGGATCTCTTCCTCTCGCGCCGAGGTTGTTCCGATGGGGCTCTGGATCGCAAACATGCCACCTCTTCAAACACGGCTAGCCGTGTGCAGCCAGCAGTCGACCACTTCCATACATACGTACATACGTACGTACAAAACATACCAAACACACACATCCGTCTAAGCGCCAGGGATTTCCAGTGGGAGCGCCTGCATGCAACATGGCGGACCAACTTCTCGAGCAAGTGCGCGACGCCGTCGAGGGCCAGATTGTATGCGATACCTTCCTTGTCCAGACCCAGACCCAGGCCTAGACATACACACCAACCGCTGCTTCACGACAAGGTTTACTAACAGTGGCTGCAGGACTTTGAGGGCCAGAGGCTGGCTGATATGCTAAGCACAGTTCTCCTTGGCGCTGCTGGTGTATGCTCCCCTTCTCCTCATTGCGAGCGCTTCATGCGACTGACGAGCCAAGATTCTTGCCTTCATCGTCGGCTACATGGCACAAGACATCCGTCTCACCCTCTACGTTGGCCTCGCTGGCACCGCCCTCACCTTCCTTGTCGTTGTACCCCCGTGGCCCTTTTACAACAAGAACCCCGAAGGCTGGCTACCAAAGTACAACGCTTCTTCGCAATACAACATCGACGTCGACGGGGAGAAGGTAGGATAGACCGGGTTTGGACGCGAGTGCAAGGGAGACGTGTATCACAATTGGCTAGAGATGTGGCGTTTGATTGTAATGGAAATCTTATTCGACCCTCTTGACTGCGCGTGCTACTACGTCATGCTGTCATGATAGTCTTTTGTAAAGGCCGTGCTAACGCCAGACATCCGAATGGAACCATAACCCAAATGCGTCCTTGTTGAACCTGTTTGTCGTACCTGCTGCTGCTGTTTATCGGCCGTACTTTTGGAACTCCCAGTCTCTGTTGTCTAGCGGGCAGACCTGTCGTGTCTTGAGCCATCGTGAGATGCAGTGGAAGTGGAAGGCGTGCTGCTGTGAATTAGCATGGCGAATTGCGAGATTGGCAACACAGAACCTACGTTGCAGATACCCCAGGCTACCGTGCACTCCTCGCTAGTTGCCGAAGCCTGGTTGGCCTGGCATTCAATGCACAGGTCCATGATGTGGTTGCGGCAAATGGCACAGTTGTCGACGACGATATCCCAGGCCCAGAGAGCAACGGCATTCCACTGCGTCATGTCAGCATCCAGAGCCTGGTAGCGCACTGTTTGTGCTCGTGTGCTGCCTACCTTTTTGACCTCGAAGCGTTTCTTGTCTCCCTCTCCACTGGCACCGGCCTTGGATGTCTTGGTTTTGGCTGGGGGCGCATCTGCCATGTCAACGTCCGCCATGATTAGTATGCGATGAAGGCGGTTCGAAGCTGGTGGGGGCGGGGAGATGTGTAGAGTCGGAGGCTGAAGCGTGGACAAAGAGCGGAGTTTGACGGGCCGCAGGTGTGTAGTAGGTGGGCGGGAACAGGTAGCAGCTCCAGCTCCAACCAGAAACAGAACCAGAACCAGGTTACTATGGGGTGGCGAAGTATTGGTCCGAATGGTATGGAGGCTGAAGGCGCAACGTGCATCCGTCAGGCTCCAGCTGCCAGCGAGCGAACGCCAAGACTAGGGCCCATTCACGTCACCGTCTGCGATGACACCGCAGACAAAGGGCAATGCGAAATAGCCAGCAACACACGCTTTGAAATTAATGCCGGAAAGGGACGATTCGTGTCAGAATCCCCATTGCTGCCCCAGCTCGACGTCTGTTTCACAGTAACAGCCGTTCAGCCTTACGTCGCCGCCGCCGCCGCCGCCGCAAGCGTCAGTGCGCCGTGCCGAGATCAGCCTTGTTTGACCTCAGCCACCTCCGCGCTGGCACCGACTGATGCGCCCGACACTCTTCACTACACCCTCCCTCACTCTCTTCGCCCTACATCACCCGAAGGCGCGTGCCTATCTCTACCCCGCGGAACTGGATATGAACACTCTACCACTCGACCTTTGCACACTTCTACTACACCAGACACAGACATCCCTTCAACTACAACCCGCGTCATCGCGCTCCATTCATCCCACTTCCACATCTCGAACAAAGAGCGTCCGCCTGCGACCCTCTAGATAATCTTCTCCCCATACAGAACACCCCACTACACCTCAAATGTCGACAACTCAGATCACCGCCTCTCCACGAGCGCCCCGCGGAAAGCCGCAGAGCCCAGCTCAGCTGCCCCAAAACAACAACGCCGGAAGACAGTCACAAAGAAAACCACGGAATAACCGCGTGCAAAATGGCTACAATCAGCGCAACGGCCTACCTGTATCCCCGAGCAAGAATTCTGCACAAGGCGCCCTCGCCGAAAGTGTCACCTTCCCCTGTGAAGATGGTCACATGTCTGCCGGTTCGCGCGGCATGAAGAAGCACACTCAGCCGAAACCTTCTGATCGCGTCTCTCCGCCTGCCGAATCGGACCCCGTTCCTATTAACCCGTCTGCAACTCCTATCAAAATCCAGGCCGCTTATGCTGGGCCCACCTTTCACGCGTCTCCGGCGCCTTCTGCTTTGCCCATTCCCAAGTTTCTTTCTCGTTCTGTGCCCGCAAAGACCCGTGCTGGCCCACCAACCCCTCCGCCTGAAGACAGTTCTGACTCGGGCTCACTGAGCCCTTCTGCTTCTCCTTCTCGTGCCCCGATGGCTGCGCCTCCACGCCATGAGCAGTCTCCCTTGGATCTTCTCTTCAGGGCCGATGCAGCAGAGAGGGCCAACAACCAAAACAGAGGTCTTCCTTCAAACAGCCCGTTTGTAGCAGTAAACCCCGGGCGATCTCATCACTTCAAACATGACTCTTACCATTCACTCAATGGCATCTTCCCTATAGAGCTTGACGGGGAGAGCAAGCATGCGCACATGTCCCCCGCACCTCCAGCAGCATCCACCTCACAGCGCTCCATGACCGATCCCGATGGCGTCCCTCAACTCAAAGACGTTCACCAGCAAGGTAATGGAAACGATGTCATTCAAGACCTGTTTAGTCGACTTTCCATGTCACAAAAGAAACCCACTGCTGCAACACCACCTCGGGCAGGTGTTCACGGCCCACCAGGACCTCAAGCACATCTATCGCCCTCGCCTTTCCATGACGGTCGGACTCCTGGACGAACGGCATCTGGTCCCACTACCCCTCAAGCACAGCCCACAAACCAGGACCCGTCCGACTTTTACTACGGTAACAAGAACCTTTCTCCACTGTTCAAGGCAGCCCAGGGCGACTCGGCCAAACGCAACTCGGGCCTTCGCACTGAAATCAGTGCTGATTCCCCAATGCTTCAGCAAGATGGGTTCAAGGGTTTTGCGTCTGTTTCTCAGCCTCACCCAATGGGACCCAACGGCTTCCCCCAGGGCAATGGAGCAACACCGAATGCACCCCGTCAGGCAGGCCCTTCCATGCCGCCTTACCAACAAAGCCCAAATCAAAGGCGCACGCCTGGTAGACAGCCACACCAGCGTCGTCCTGACAATTACCAAACAAGGGGCCAGAGGACTGGATCTGGATCTGGTCCTGGACCCAAGTTTGATAAAGCAGCCGCCAACGGCTCTCCTGCGTCTGCACCGAAATCTTCTACCACCATGATGTCTTTTGTCCCTTCGTCGGTCGCTGCTAAGCAGCGCAAGACCTCTGCACCCACGGCACCCACAGCTGCCCCGGCGATGAAGACATCCACCCCTTCTGAAACTTTAGCTTTGGAGCAGGATCTCAAGCGTTTGCTTAATCTCAACACGGCCGGCGATGCCTCAACCGTGAGGTAGACTACTTTCTACCTGTCCATATTCGCGCATCTTTCATTCTACTTACTAGTGTTTTCATATACACACTTTCTTTGGTCTATATGGGTCTTCTAGCCTTTTCATATCGTCATGTACTATGACCTTACTATCGTTTATTTGGAGTTTCTGGCGTTTTTGAATGACTAGTCATTCACTGTTGGTGGACGTAGTATGGATTGCTGGGTATGTCGTCCTAGTTGCTCAGTCCAGCACAAGAACTTTTCTTTGTCATGGTTCATGGATTGGCTGCATGTGCACGGGGTTCTAAGAGCTGGTCGACTGGCGTTTTGCAACATCATGTTTTGATGTTTTGGTGCATATATGCACATCTGGGGTTGTCTCGACTGGCTTTGTGAGGTGAGCTTCTTCCGACAATCGTCTGCTGTCCACGTTTCTGGATCCAGGCATGACTCGACTTTTTCATCACTACAAACACCACAAATCTCTCAAGTAAAAAATCAAGAAAAAACATTAGGGCATGATGCTCGGCTCTGACGCTCCTATGAGGGGTGCAGGGTTTTCATGTCCAACAATAGCTTTTTTTGGTCTGATTCTGTGATGGTGAGGTGACGTTCGATTGATGTTTCTGTTTACACTTTGAGCCTCTTATCCTCTGTGCTTATCCAATGTTAAGAGGTCACTGTTTAAGCAAGGTACTATGGTTCTAGCACATGGACAATGCAGAGTATCGGCTTGCGTCCAACTGCCTTGTGAATGTTCTGGCGTAACGGTTCGGGCATCTGACTTAGACTAATAGCCCGCCTATCAGACAATGGGTATTCGTTTGCCGCTTCAGGTCGATTTAGTATTCACTTTCAGTTACTACTAGCGCCAAATGCGAGTACTGGCTTTGCACTACCCGTTACGCACTTCACTGTGAATCGCTTCAGAATACTTCATCACCTGCTCGAGGCTGGATCTTACGCTAAAGCCTGTTTGCTTTGCTCCCTTGCCTACTTGAAGCAAAGCCACTGTCCAGGTCACTCAATTGCTCTTGCAAACCAGACAATAGATCGCCCGACTATACTCGTTGCCCATCGGCTGTATTCAAGATGAAGAGTTTCCGAAGTAAAGGTAAGCAAGTTGAGCTCTCTCTCCTCCAGCACGGTGAGATCACCAGCGACTGCCATCCTCTCTCAAACCGTACTGATACAAAAGGTGATAGCGTCGCGTTTCTTCAGAGAAGGTGCATCTTCAGAGGAGAAGGTGGCAATCAACAACACCTCGAGTTTTGACTTCGACGCTGGTATTGACAGCACTGTTACAAGAAAAGGTAGGAACAGTCTCTTTCTTACTCTCCCTCGCGTATCACCCAAACCACCTCTACACACAAGTCAGATATTGACTAAATGACAAGTGGTGTGGCCCTTTCGCCGCAAGAATGACAAAGCAGCTAAACCGCAACCAGCTCTGCGGCTCAATTCTTCGTCGTCTACGTTGATGCCTCCAGCCAGACCATGTGTCATTGGTCATGAGGCCAGCGACGACTTCGATCTTCTGCCAGACTACGACGATTCTGACGATGACGACACACAGGCGTTTCGTCGTTCGCCTGCTACATCCAACAAGAAGAAGAAGTATCGCAATGCGTTCAGTATGTCCAATCTCAGGAAGTCATGCTCGAATCTTGCGGCCTTGAAGAATAAGGGTAAATCTAGCCACTCCTCACTCCGTCTTCTCTGTTTGTCTATTTCCAAACTTCAGTCTCAATCTAACATGAAATCCACACTCCAGGTTCCCGCATCTTCAACAGCAACAAGAAGTCCTATTCGAGATCGCCTCCGCCACCACCAGTCCCTCAAATTCCAGTCGACTTCACCATCCCACTACCAACCCGTTACTCAGCTCTTCCACCATCACCACCACCGCTCCCCAAACGTAGCAGCAACCGCCCTCCACGCCCGACGCTCAAAAAGGCCAAAAGAGGTACAGGCCCCATGTCCCGCCCAACACCCACATCCCAAGACGCAAACATCCCGCTTGTCCTCGAACACCTCACCACCACCCCTTTCACGCCTCGCAGCAGTCCCCCGCCACAGCGCCCCCCACGCCCAAACGAGTCACAAAACGATACGTTAATGTACATACGCTACACGAACGCCCGCATGGTGCTTCCCATTCGTCCTCGCCCGGACACCAGTACACCACCAGATCCATCTCAGTCTACTACAATACCTTCTGCGTCTCCTTCATCTTCCACATTAACAAGCACCCGCCACGCCTCCGCCATCGCATCCCGTCTCGGCATCCCGGCGGGCCACTCAACTCCCCTTATCCCATCCCTCACCGCACCCCTCGCAGCCCGCATCCCCCAGCACTCCGCTTTGCGCCTCCCAGTCCGCGTTTCAGACGGCAGCACAAGATACAGTCGGTTCAGTGAGTACGTTGCGGATTGCGAGCCAGCGGCGTATGAGACAGTGGCGTATGGACAGCTTCAAGCACGTGTTGGTGGGGACGCGGCGGCGGCGGCGGCGGTCGAAGTCTATGATGCTGGCAAGGAAGAAGAGTGGGTGCTTGAGAGGCAGGTTAGTCGGGGGCCGAAGGGGGAGGCCGGGGGGATGGTGTTTAGGGATCGGAGAGGTGGGTTTCATTTTGTGCGGAATGTGTGAGTTGCGTGGTTTCCAAGTACAGTCTTGGATCTATCGAGGGAGGTGAGGAGTGGAATGTATTACATGGGACATGGCAAGACGACGTCTTCATGTGAAGGTTGATTACGAGTTTGGATTCAGGTTGTGGAATTTGTCTTTTCTGATCTACTGCGACGAGTTTAACTGGGAACGAACCGATCACGGTGAAATTTCTTCTTTGAGAAGACGAGATCTTATACTGTACTTCATCGAGCTTGATAATCTCGGTTGACAGAACACATCTGTCAGGTCCTACATGTCAATTCTGTCAACATGACACTTTGACAAGTAAACCCGAACCAAAATATCAAATGACATCTACCAAATCAGACAAGTACCATCACACTTCATAACACAAGCAGAACCATAAACCAATATTTGACATTTATGTAAAACAAAACAAAAATTAAATCTTTTATAAAACTGTCATTGAGTCTACCCGTTATTCACATTTGGCTCCCAAACATGAGCATAGAGAGGAATTGGGCAAGTATGAAAGTTATAAGAAAAAAAACAAGAACCCCCTGAAAGATTTCGCAACCAGCGATGTCCAGATCGCACATCAAGAAAAAAAAGAGTTTGCCGTTTCAAATAAAAAGAAAACCCTCTTAGTTCCTTTTCACGCCAATGATATCGTTTTGCGCTATAAACACTTGTGTAGAGAGAGGTGGAAAGGGGATATATAAAAGGATGAGAAGCGCAAAAGGTGAAGGCCAAGATGATACAAGTTACCCCGTTGCCCAATGCCAAAGACTTATTTCCCATGGCCGAATGAAGCATGTTTTGGAACGTTGTAGGGTGAAGTCCGCTTCCACTGGGGTATCAGATATCAGTCTTCTTGTTCGGCAAAGCAGCAGCTCGAAAACTTGTACCATCTTATGAAACGGCATCAGTGAACCAAGTAGACTAAGTAGAGTATCGTGGGTACGGGAAGCAATGTGTAATTCTTTTCTGACGTGGCCGCCAAGATTCCAGTCGGGCAATGCTAGGGAGGTTTGAACGGCCCAGCGCTCGTTTAGGTTCCATAATAGGTCATCGACTGCAAAAAAAGGAACGTGGCCAGACCGCGTCTTGGATATAGTGTAAAATGAGCATAAAAAGGGTATCGATCAAGTCCAGAACGCTTCGTGAAAACACCCGCCATTACTCTTTTGGTGTCGCTTCGATCACTCCTGACTCGACGTTTGGTTACAAGGTGCTTAGTGGCCTCCGTTCTTCCTAAAATTAAGCAGCTGAGACAAACTTGCCAAACTGCATCCACTCTTGAGGAAGTCATGGCTGATCAGCTCCGATGCACTAGCTCGCGATTTGACGTCAACACACAGACAGACCGACAGGAATGCCTTGAGCTCCTTGGAAAGCTTGTCAGGCTTCTTGAGACGAGGGGTACCGTTGGTGGCGATGAGATACAGGGCCTTGAGGGGCTCCTCGTTGAGATATGGTGGCTCGGACTCGATCATTTCGATAGCCATGATACCCAAAGACCAAATATCGACCTTGTTGCCGTACTCTTTTTGCTTGACGACCTCAGGCGCCATCCAGTATGGGGTTCCGACCATGGTTGCACGCTTGCTACGTTGCTCAGTGAGCTTGGCGCTGAATCCAAAATCCGCTGTAACGGGTTAGTAGGGTACAGAGAGATCGTGATAAGCGAAAACGTACTAATCTTGACATTACCGCGGCCATCGAGCAAGACGTTATCACTCTTGATGTCTCGGTGAATAATGTTCAAGTTGTGGAGATATTCAAGACCCTTGCAAGTCTAGCAAAAGTTAGCATGTGGTTTGAAGAATGCAAAAAAAAAAAGAACTGACCTCGAAGCAAATGGTGGCAATCTGGTCTTCGCTGATGGAAGGGTTGTTGTCAATAATGTCAGTTAGAGCACCTCCCTCCATAAACTCCATGACGACCCAAAGTTCGGACTGCTCTTCTTGCAGGAAAGCATCCAAAAAGTTGACAATGTTGGGATGCTTGCTATCCTTCATGACAATGATCTCATTCACAATCAGCTCCTTGCGGGGCTGATTACGAAGGTCCATCTGCTTAATGGCAACTTGAGCACGTGGTCCATTTTCCTGCATGACCCTCCTGGCCATTGGTGACGTGGCGCCTTCGCGGATGCGAGCTACGTAGACAGAGCCACTAGCACCTTGGCCAATCTTCTTTTGCTTGTTGTACGAATCCAGGGGCCTTTCCTTGGACACGACTTCGCGGAGTTTGGCCATGACCTCGCTCTCTGACATGCTCGACATGCGCACGTCTTTGCGTTGGGGCTCATCCTTGGGCTTGGCTGTGAGGGCCTGCTCGGCCTTCTTGACAGCATCGCTGACGGGAGCGGCAGGCTTAGCAACATTCAATGGCTTGGGAGCAGCAGATGAGCCCTGGTACTGCTTTTGTTGTTGTTGTTGTTGCTGCTGCTGCTGGCCATTATTGACGCGAGGGACCTGTCCGCTTGAGCCCTTGTAGCTGCTGTTGGGCTGAACGGGCGGGCGCTGTTGTTGAGAAGATGACTTGGAAGGAGAAGAGCCATAGTTGCCGTTTTGTTGTTGAGGAGCTGGCGGAGCTGGACGCTGTGCAGCCATCTGGCGCAATGAACCTGGAGGCTGCTGTGCTTGCTGCTGGTTCCTCGCCGCGCCTGGAGTTGATGGCGCAGGACGACTGGGGTTGTATCGTTGGCCTGAAGGGCTTGTGTCGCGTGTATCGTAGCTGCCCCCACCGATTTCTTGTTGGGCCAATGGAACCTTTTTCTGCGGTAGCGAAGCATTGTACGCAGCCAGCTCCTCGCGCTCGCGCTCGTAGTCCTGCTGTCTCTGTCGCTCACGTTCGCGCTGCATCCTTGCCTGTTCTTCCTGTCGTCTCCTCTCCTGGTCATAGCGGTCCTGTTGCTGCTGCTGCTGTTGCTGTGAGGCAGAGTTTTGTTGGCTAGAATAGCCTTGCTGAGGCGGTGTGTTCTGGCGACTGGAGCTGTAACTATCCTTGCGTGGGTAACCACCAGGGGGTGCAGGGCGTGGAGGTGCAACGGAATTTCCGCCGCCTGAATAGCCCAGCTGCTTGTCCATGCCGGCACTGCCTGGTGGGGTGGGTGTAAGACTTGGATATTGTTGGGGGTCTTCTGATCGCTTGACAAGCTTCTCAGTGTAAAACTCGAGGACCTCGAGAACGGCCTTTGGGTTCTTTGCGTAGTCATCTTTGGTAAGTGCAGATGCGGTGAGCAGCTTCTCCCATTCGACAGGCAGGCCAACGAAAGCACCGCTGTTTGGATCGAAGCCTACGTGTACTCTATGCGTGAAATTTGTGGGGTTGCTGACGCCACCCATGCTAGGACATCGTTGGTAGATGCTATCGATCCACGAGTAAACTTCATCATCGGTCTCGACTTTGCATGTAATGATCTTGGTGGGACCATCGCGAGGTGGCGACGAGCCTTTGCTGGGGTTGAGTGCGCGGGTGATTTCAAAAGACAGGGGCTGCGTGTCGGATCGCTCGACACCCAGAATGTCTCGTAGTTGAATGGAGTTGGATACCTTTGAGGCGTTTGGGCTCTTGAAGAAATTGAGCTCAAACTCGCGCAGCACCAGCCAGCGATCTGCCCAGACGAAGGATTTGAACAGGCCTTCGTCCTTGACCTTGACCATGCCTTCTTTGACTGTGGACGTGGACGAGCCGCTTCTCTCGGTCTGTGTGCGAACAAGGGACATTTGAGAGCCGTTGTTCATACCAGGCGACTGCATACTTAGGCCAGCCATGTTGCCTGGCAGCGTGCTGCTGGTGTTTGGGGTAAGGGCGAGGCGGGGACGATCTGTCGGTGGCCGCGGTGCGGGACCAGGGTTCATGAACTGTTCGCGGGAATACATGCTGCGATGTCGTGATTAGTTGGAGTCTGCGTAGGCTGACGAACAGCGACGTGTGCTACCAGAGTCGGACCAGGCTCCGGCGAGTAGTCACGGTGGCTGCTGCGAAGAAGCAAAAAAAAAGGCCGTAGACGAGTGATAGCTGAAGAAGGGGCGGGAGAGGCGAAGAGAACAGTGAGGACACTTACATGGGCAACCTCTAATTTAGACAATAGCTCGAGGGGCCTTTTGCAGGCAATTGTGACAGCGTCCGGGGAGCGCGTAGTCACCTCGGAAATGCAATGGTGAGTGCTGGGGGATACGGTGAATGGCGGGGTGAAGGGTAGTGGATGGAATCAACAGGCAGCGGGGGAGGGCGCAGCCTTGAGCGCGAGTGAGAGAGAAGGAGGAGAAGAAAGAAGAAAAAGAGAGTAGACTCGGGTCGGGTTGACAATTGCGCAGCGGGCTGGGCGTCGGCAGAGGGCGTGGTAATGGTGGAGCAGCAGCGGGCGAGTCTTTGGGGTGGAGCGTCGCGCGGAGCGGGCCAGCAGCAATGCGAGGGCTTGGGCAGCTGGCGGGCGGGCCAGTAGTGCTGAGAGGGCAGCGGGTGCGGCTGCCAATGGTTCAGAAGGGCAATGCGTCGCACACCAGGGATGGGCTCAATGGAAAAGCCACATGGGGGGATGGGGGCGAGGTCAGGGTGGATAGGAGAGGGTTGGGCAGCCAACAAAAGAGAGAGGGCTGTGTGGTGAGAGGTGTATCGTCGAGGCGGGCAGTCTTTACTAGTGGAGCCCTTTCTCCTGGCTCAGCGTGGAGCATGCACATGTGCAGCCAGACGGCGCGCTAACGCCCCTCTCACGTGCGCCCGCAACTCTCGAGTGGAGGCGTAGTGGGCGGAATGGGCACAATGAGCGCCATGGGCATGCAGATGCTGCCGATTGTCCAGGCCAAGGGGGCGACTATGTGTTTCATGGGCGCGTAGGCGCGACAGTGGTACTAGAAGACGGTGGCGGCGTCATGGCTATCAACGTTTCAGAGCGCAGCGCTCGCCGGCGCCTGAAACTCTTGCAGCTGGCGTCCATAGCCCGGCCTGGCTGTCACGCAAATGTCGCCCATGATGGCCTCGGAGGGACTAGGCAGTACATACATGTA